TTATATGTTAGATTTTTTCCATTTTGCCCAGTAGTACTTGTGATCCATTTCCTGCAGGAGTTAGTTTGAATGAAGTCAATGACTGATTATTGCATTTTGTCTCCACCTGCTTTTCATTGACAGAGTGAAGTGAGCTGTGCCTCTGAAGGAGAAACATCACCGTACTCCGACTACCATTTTCTCATCCAGAGCAGCTGTGTATGAGAAGGAAGACGATGTGTCCCAGTGTCTTTACAATACACCACAGTTTCCCTTTGTGGTTCTATTTGTACACCTATTGATATTATAGGATGGGTTTCTGTCTTATTATTGTACATTATTTTTTAAAGATCTTCATACAGAAACTATATACCACTGTCCCCACTGTAATCGCCCCCATATGTTTATGCATTAAGACATCTCTTTCTGCTGTGATCACTGGAGTGTGAAACAGGTCACTGAAAATGTTTTAGATCACTGTAATTGTCGACTGTGTTGTGTCACTGTTAACTGAGACCATACGTTTATTGCTCATTTTATTAATGATCACCAAGTCCATACTTTATAGAAGCCATAATGACTTTTTAGCAGAATTGAAGTTTTTAAATGAAGTCCAGGCTAAGAAACTGTAGATGACTCTGCATACATTTATGATTCTTTTTTTATACAATGAATCTGTATGTACACTGAAACCAGTGTCAACTGAAAACAAAAACACAATAGTTTGATACACTGGAGAGGAAATCATTGGCTTTCGCTGAAGTCCTCAGTGAATGGTTGCAGCTCACACTGAAAATATACCTCAGTAGTGCACACTGGCAAACCCTGGGTGTGTACAGTGGAGCATTGTGTTGGAGGCTGCTGCAGTCGACTACACTGTCTGCTGTCTGCTCACGCAGCATCTGACTAAACACTGCACAGAGAAAAAATAGTGTGCTGTATGTCTATCTAAACTCTGACATTACATGAAACATCAAATTCTTACATTTATGGGGACATATTATAAAGAAACATTTGGCTAGAGTGCCTAGCAATTCATAAACTGAAATAAGACAACCCAGTCAGTTTTATGTGGGCTGCCTGGATCAGGAAAAAATCTGCTCGCCTTCCTACTGTATGTGACATTACAATACATCGGCCCCAGTTTGACTGCTAACACAAACAGCTGGAGAAATACATATGAAAAGGTGTGCCATATTTTTCGTGCAATCCTATCACAGCAGATTTTTTTGGGGGGGCTGCTTAATGAGACAGGCACCCAAAAGGAGCCTTTCAGAAAGAGGTTTATACAGATATATTCATTCATACAGACAGTACGGTGAGAATAATGTGTTTTTTGAACATTAAAGCAGGAAAGATGTTCTAAAAATCAAAATCAAAATCCAAGTATAAACCTGAAAATTAGCATGATATGTCCCTTTTAAATGTTATATGGATACTCTATCCTCTATCCAGAAATCCTTATTATCGTACCTAAAATTAAGGTTTATAAGTCATACTTTATTAGCAGATTCACTGAAAGACATTCTATAAAACTGGATCCGGAAAAAAATCACTGGAAATGAAAATGTAAAACACTGACAGCTCCTGGCATCTGATAATGGAAATGCAACAAGTCAAACACTGACAATATATTTCAAGAGACACTGGAATAGCTTACACTGTATTTTGCTAACTGGATAAAATGCTGGCAGGGCAATAAACGGCAAATATCATTTCAGGTGCATGTCCAATCATTTCTCTAAAATGATACATCTCAGCTCAGAGGCAACTCAAAGGCTGCTTCAGCTAAAGAAATTCAATTTTAATGGCTCGATCATGAAGCTGAGAAGGAGTTGCATTTCTTTTTGTACACTGCAGAGATAAAATTGGATAATATACACTGGACTTTTTGTGTATTTCCTTGGATATTTTGAATACTTTGTCTGTGCCTATGCAATTAAGACTATGCAGTGATAACACTTTGAGTATAACCGAAGTGTACAATGTTTTTTTTTCTATTATGCTTTCTTGTTTTAAAACCATTCTCCATTTACTTTTACCACCCTACTTATTTTGTATTATGTTATAAAATTCATTCCCCATATGTGTCTGTATTCAGAAAGAAAAAAAACAGAATAATGTATGTCAAATGTAAAATCAATACTCAATAGGAAAAACAGCCATCAGACAAAAGTGTATGGAATTTATCATGACATTGAGATACTATACAATGCTTCCAGTATAATTACTATGATTTCAGTGGGTATAGTGTACTATTTTAGCTTATTTATAATGCACTAGCTAGCATATTGAAACCACTGTAGCACTTTTTGCACTGTATATATGAACTGCTTTGCTCTATCCGGTGCACCAGACTGTTTCCATAAACTCTGTAAGAACTGCATTACATGTAACTGTATAGCTTCATTGTGTTACTACCAATGCTCCTTTTTATCTGATGTGTTTTATCATTTTGTTTTTATAGTTGATATGTTTTGGTTGGTTGTTGTATTATCGATAATATATTAACATTTAGCTAATGGAGCCCATAAATGATTGACAAGACTGTAAACACACAAACACATAAACACACACGACCACACACACACACTCAAAATAATACATTTCCAACTGTAGCACTGTTCTTCAAGGAAAAATATCATAACACTAAAACTCTTTGAGTACTACTTTATACTCACTACTTTATCTTTGTTGCCCATTTTATCGTTACACTTTCAAAGCCTTTTGTTAAAATAAATGCTGTAATACTATGTAAATGCATGTAGTAAATACATTTGTGATTGAATTGTCTGTTTTGTTTGATTGCTAAACTTCATTAGATCAAAATAAAATGCTCATTTTGTCCAATAGGTGGCAGCAGATGATTTATTACAACAAATTACATTTAAACGTTATGCCCTGATATAAGCCGTTCAGGTGGCGGACAGCCGATAAGCCACCGATATGTGGTCGAGTTGTCCCAGTCCCAGCGTAGTTTTCATACATTTTATATAAATATTGACGCCTGTTTTCTTGATAATTGTCATGTAGGCTTATGTTTCCCAGTAGCTGAAATGTACTACCAAAATGTGTCACATAGTCACAATCGCTCATATTGTGTTTTAGTGGTTAATTTCTATTTTATACAAATATTTTTCATAATTTCATGATTTCTTTTTTAATAACTTCTATGTTATGTATCCGAGTGACTCAAATGTTATACACAAACGGAATTACTAATAGGGAATGCATTTGCAGCCAGCCTGAGAAGCTCAACTGAGGGGTAAAAAACACTTTTTGGCTAACGTCAACTGTACGTCACGCAAAAACCAGGAAGTGATAGTCAGTACGTGGCCTTATCATCTTGGACCATAGAAAAAGGAGCTCCTCTGCAAAGCAAAATGGTAAAATAACTTAAATCTATCGTGTTTATTGACTTTCTATTTGTATTATGCAATGGTAAGCGGTTTATCTTTATACGATGTTCATAGTTTAACCAGCAAAATAATTTGTTTTCTATGTGATTGTATCCTTGGCGTAGCTAACGTTGTAGATAGGCAAAGTAGCAACATTAGCTTCACATGTCAAATCCAGTGATGTCGCCGCTCTAATAAAACCACATATACGTGTTTCAAAACTATTTAAACGCCATTGACGCGGTGCATTATGATAGGCGTTAATGGCTGGTGTTTTTGCTGGATATGTTGTTTTTTTAACCTGGTTTTATCCTTTCCTCTGTGGCTGCAGGAACTCGAAGCTATGACCAGATACACCAGCCCGGTGAACCCGGCTGTGTTCCCCCACCTCACCGTGGTCCTGCTGGCCATCGGCATGTTCTTCACCGCCTGGTTCTTCGTGTATCCTTTCACTACTTGTTCTACAAAACACTGTTTACGTGCTACAGGACACATTAGGCTACCGAAGTATAGCAACCTGCAGTAACACGGTACAAGATTAGGTTGAGCAGCATATCAGTGCCTCTACATGTTATAGAGCATCTTACTTCAAGTTCATAGTTCAGCCCCTGATTTAGTTGGTTACAATAACACATAACTTACAGAATTGGTTATTGGCACTAAAAATTAGGCTTTGATGAAGCAACAAACACAAGCAGTCAGATGCTCACATATACTAAAAAACAAACTCCCAATTTAGCTGTAATTATTTGGTCGAAAAAAGAAAAGTACCCAACTTGGCACTTTACAGACTTTCTTCCTGCTTTAGGTTAAACCCATGGGTTGTCCACATTGTTTTCCTGTGTAGTACAGGATTATTACAGATATATATTTTTTTCACTTTAAATCGTATCTTTAAAATATAGAGGAAGCTAATTTTGGCTTCATTGTCCTCAGTTTATAACGAAATTGTTGACATAAAAATGTCATAGTTCAGTCGTTCAGAGTCAAAATGGGATAAGGGAAGAAATCCACAATTGGAAATAAGGAAGGTGAAAAAGTCAGCATGTGTTACTATAGTTTGTTTAAATCTTAAATGTTAAAACAGGACTATGTTTGAATTATCCAACGTTTTTGCACATTTTTCATTGCTTTCAATTTTGACTGTTTTTTCAACAGTGATTTTATGTAAAGTTCATCAAAGCATTCAGAATGACACTAAACATAGTAAACTATAGTACGCTAAGGACAATTGCATATTAAGCTAGACAACAGGAGGCGTTGGAATGGTCAAAGAGCTCAGAACGTGGCTGTTGGTTGTACTTTTTTTATGGCTGGCCCTTAACTTCTCATCAGCTACGAGGTAACATCAACAAAATACACCAGGGACGTCTACAAAGAGCTGCTGATCTCCCTCGTGGCTTCACTTTTTATGGGCTTCGGTGTGCTGTTCTTACTACTCTGGGTTGGCATCTATGTATGAAGGTACATTCAACATCTTATTAAACTCTTGTAGTTATTTTATTGTTATTAATAACTGAAACAGATTTGTGAAAGTTAACTTTGTTTCCTCTCGTTTCCTCCAGTTTTGTGTGACCGATTTGAAAGAACATGACACATTCCATTGGAACGAAGGACATCACTCATCACACAATCTGGATTTAATTGGAGTGCACTGACAACATAATAGGATCATATGGACTCTGGTTTTCTTGTCATGAGTAAAGGGGATTTGTACAACTTTTGGTGTCCTTCTTTGTTCAGCCTGATATCAGCATGAATAGCTAAAATCCATGGATCACATAGATTTTAACAATTGTATAAAAACTGTCTATCAATTCTTATTTAGATGCGACCCGAAGTTCAATGGAACTGTTGTTTTCTAGCTATTAGAATGTTATTTTGACACCCTAAAGACTATTTATGGTGTGTTTCACTATGGTGCCTAAAACCCTCAAGCCCTGATTAATCTTTGTGTTAAATATAGGGCAGTCTTCACCTTGTCTACAGGTCAATACTGACTCGAGTGAAGAAAGGATTACACCAGGATTAGAGAAGGATTATTTATTAAAAACAGCGGGAACACTGTTCAAAGATTCCCACCCAGAGAAGAGAGTTCACTTGAACATTGGCTTATTAAAATGACATTAACCATGTAAACAGCACATAATAACCTTACATAAGGCCAAACAAACCAACAATTTTCTTCCTTTGAGGAGGGAATAACATACATTTTCAAAAAAACTATAACTACATGTTTTATGGATGAATTACTACAAATCAAAACAAGCTTGCCATTTGCAAACACTGAAATCTTACTAATGTTCTTTCAATGCTTCTCATGCTGTCTGCCACTCTAATTGATTTACAAAGGCCACAGATTACCAGACACAATCCTGGTTAATACAATACCACTACGGTTGGCTTACCTGCCACTGTAAGCTGTTTAACCAACTCCTCACTTGGTGTTGAAGCACCAATAAACAAACAGCTTGAGAATTTGCTGTGAAAATAGTCAACAATTCTGAATAGCAAATAATGATGCTTGGTGTTATAATGTCAGAAGGGCCTTCCATCCCAGATCCTTTTAAAGGAATACCTCATCCCCAATATGATGACCTTAAATTCTTGCAGAAAACTGTTTTCTGAGGCCTCTAAGGGAAAATAAATGGGGGCTGCTTTAACCAACTTCTGAAAAAACAGTCTTACAGATGGACAAGTATCACAAAATAGCAAACATGTAAATTTGTCAACAGCTGTTGTTAAACACGGCCCCATTTACTTCAGTTAACCAATAATTGTATCCGTTCATCTTTCAAATATGCAAGTTAAACAAGGTTTTCCAAGTTAACATAGGGTGATTCATAGATGTACAAATAATACAAAAAGATTTTCCATAAAGTCTTTCTCAAAACTGTCTCTTCTTCACTGACGAGCTCTGGCGAAGATGTTACGCAGCCACAGAGAGTCTTCATACAGCCTCGGATCACCCATACACTCAGCTGTGCGTTTGTAGAAGTAGTAATACAACACTGCCGCTGTTGACAGAAAAAATTAACATTTACTCAACTAATACATAAAGAAAATTAGTTGCAAAGGGAAATTATCCTGTAAATTAAGCCATCCCTTACCTGTTCTCTGGAACACAAAAAGAGCCTGAAGACCATCAGTCCAAATAAATCGGTTTGACTGAAACCATCGGAGGTTCTAAAAAAAAAAAATACTTAGTTTCAAAAGTGTCCACCGTTAATCAGTTGTATTACCAAGTGGATTTACACATATGAGGAATTCACATTTGGTATAAGTGGTGCATACAGAGACACAGAAAAAATAATCAAAACCAAAATAAATTACAATTATAAAAGCTAAGACTAATGAAAAAAATCTAAGTTGTGATATGACATTGCTTACTTCAAAATGTTCTCATGATTTAGTGTTTACTTGAGTTAGTTGAAATGCAGGTTCTGTGTTGGTGTAACAAAGCTTACCAGCACCCAGCAGTGGAAGCAGATGCTGAGCGTCAGGTAAAGAGCAGAGATTATCAGCAGCGCCCTGAACCTCTCCAGCAGCAGGGACACCAGGCCCACCTGGAACACGTAGGTGTTGAACAGCATCAGCAGAATGATGATCACGTTGAACAAGATGGCGATGTCCTGCATGCTGTAGACACAGATGTTAATGGTTAATTTGTATTTCTGGTTTCTGATGGAATGAGTCATGTGTGAACAAAATACAGTTATGTGGGTTTTAACACACAACAATATATTTGACAAAGCTTCACTATACAGGATATTGTTATGAAACAGTAATGGTTGGTTACTAAAAGAGTAGAAGAGGAAAGTCATTTATTTTTACAACCTCAATGATGATAAACCACAAAGAGTGACAAGACTTTCTATAAGTAAAGCAAAATAGCGTGTGAGCATCTCAATAGTATAAATCCTTGGTTAACTGCTAATGTATTCACGTTGTGTGATTAATCAATTAATCTTAAATGTATTATATTTTCAGCCTTAAACATATTGTGTTATAGTCCATATACCCCAAATGAAAACCACAACCAATTTTATGAAAAAAGTCAAATTTAAAATGCTAGACTTATAAAATACTTAATCAATGATTTAAACAAATCAGTATTAAAAATGAAATCAATTAGCTGGAGCATGTTTGTGACTTAATGACAGATACAAAATCATTTTAACATACAGTTCAGTGACTTACATGAAAAGCACTAGTTGGATGACCGGTGCTCCTCTCAGGAGTTCACTGAAGGAGTTGACGAAGAGGTCATAGGCCAACAGTGTCAGCTGGATTAGCAGCACCAGTGAGAAGTTACCAGTCTGCAGCATCTTCAGGAACGGATCTTGCAAAGCACCAAGCCTCACAGTCTGTTCACCTCCTCGCTTCTGGCTGTTTTCTTTAGACTTGCAAAACTTAGGTACTTGATGGTGACACAAGTCTTTTCAGATTCACCCTCTACATACTTCAGTACAGAGAAACTGCAGAGGTGTAGACTACAGTAGGCAGAAAGTACTCACATGACTTCTCCATTCACATAGTCAAAATACTTATTACTAATATGTTCTATTGTTTTAGGTTATCCCCACTCCAGTTAGTCCCTCTGTTCATAAACATGTTGTTTGTAGTCCTCAGGGAAAAGTGTCTTGGTGATGATTGAATGCAGTCCACGATACCAGATTAGATATTTGAGATATTTTCATATGCTGCATGTTGACATCCTTGATGTGGAAAGTGTCCTCGTCTGCTGCATTTCCTGAAGGAGAGAACATTGAAGCGATGAGACAAAAGATAGGTCGTTGTATGGTATGAGAAAAGAAGCATTGTGATTGTTTATATCTTTGCCTTGGCCATCTCCAGTGCCGTGCAGACAGCTAATTTAGCACCGTAAACACACACATACTCTTACACAAACAAACATGGAGATGCCAACCATAGGATTACAGATTAATTTTACCTACGTGAACACCACTCTTGTTTAGTTGTTGACACAGATCCCTTTCTCTTCATCTACTCTACCCACGACGGTAGCCTAAGGAAAGGTTATTTATAGTACCAGCTGCAGATAATCCTGGAGACGCATGATATAGTTATTTAACTGTTTTACAACCTAAACAAATCACTGTATTTTATAGCACACCTCGGTTTTTAATTTCGAGGAACTCCCTCCAGAAACGTTTTGCTTCGTTACCATCATAACACTGGTTCTTCCTACTGTTGTATCACAGCTTCACATGTACAAAATGACGCCCACTTACCAGAACAAAGTATGAAGAATAAAGGAAGTCATATCGAGCCAAAAAGAAACATTACAACGCTCATATTCTACTTTTTTGCAAACAATGCTACCCACTCTGAGCCTCCACTGCTGCTTTTCAGCGGCAACGAATGTATTTCCGTAACTTCCATGGTAACGCTCCTACTTACCGTAATAACAAAGAGATAGGTTCAAGAACATTTAGTTAAAAGCAATAATAGAGATCACCGTATCATTTTAGTTGCTTTAAATTGCTTGTTTTTCCTAAATGCTTTCAAACGAAGCTGATGTGTGAAAGAAAAAACAATGAATAAACATGTTAGGCAAGGAAAGTGTGGGTATTCATTGTTCGTGCTACTCCACACACTACGGTAAACTCTCATCAAACACATTGCTCACTGCCACCCAGCGGCTAACGTCAGTACGTAAAGTGACTGCAGCACTGTGCTGATCAAAGGTAGTGGCCACCTGCGTCCAGTACACTACAGGTGAGTAGCCACCAAGTTTCTACAACTTCTCTGAATTTATATAAAACACAGTCAATGTTATTTAGAAATATGAATACGCTTATGGTCACTCTTCCCGCCTTGGTGGATTAACAACCGACTAACTGTTGTGTGGGGTTCCTTTCTTCTTTAATAATAAATGTGCATTACTTCACTATCTTGGGTTTAGTTACCTTAGCTAGCTACAATGCGCATGTAAGCGATTTATTTTACTGTAAGTTGCCAAGCTCATTTTCTCTCAAACTTGTTGGTACAGTCGCTATTCTGCATTTAGCAAATATTGGCTACTGAATATCAACTTGATGTTGTATTATCAGAGCTGTCAGTGTTTTTAAACATATGTTTTATAAAGTTAGACCGAGTGTCGTCTTGTGTTGACATTTATCACAGAAAGTGTTAGACCTTTGACTGACAGTTTTGTAGCCTACGACACGTTGTACACTTTGTAAATTCACTTTCCCTGAGAAGTGGTAATTTGCTACACGGCGCTTCACTTACCGACTTTGCGAAATAGTGTGTGTTAAGTTTGTAAGTTTATCTGACCTTTGGCGTGGCTGTTGGTTTACTGACATACAAAATCCACAGCATAATGTTTGCACAAGTGCCTTATCTGGGATCCTAGCATATATTTATGTTATAAAGAAGTTTCGATCTGCATAGATCATCAGCAAAATGCTTTAGGAGTAGCCAGTGCATATTCTTAGATATTGGTTTTATGATTTTAGATAGCAAAGATAACTAGATATACTGGAAGGAGAGGCACTGACAAATCAACATTAACTTAACACTAATTGTTTTGAATTCAATTTAAAATAACCATGTATGATTTATGCTGATGTGCTCTTCCTGTGTAATAGCAATGTCATCCAAACGGAAGACAGATTACATGCAATCTTGTATCCATCATCAAATACTGTTTTTTGAGTGTTTGTGGAGATACTGAGGCACATGTTCAGTGCAGTTCTCAAGAGTGAAATCTGTATACAATTGTGGTATTTCAGACAATGCAAACAAACTGCAAATGTTTTATTTGCATCTGCTCTCCCCAGGCAATCTGCCCTCTACTTCGAGTACACAGAAACTCTCCTCACATGATACCATCCTGTTGTTTTACCATCACACATCCTGGTATAGGGCAAGCTTTAGTAGTGGCATCATCATCACATGTTTTTAAATGTGCCTCCTCTTCATTAACAGTGGGGGCAACTGCTTATGCTGCGTAAAGCTAGGGATTTATGTTTGACCTGGCCTAGAATATGAACAATTTGTATAGAAATGTAAAGTAACTTTCCTTCATGTCCCTCAAACAATTGTAAAAGTGTCTACTGTAGAGTTTGGACATGCCCGACACCTGATCACAGCAGCTGTAGAATATGTGTCCAGTCACAGTGTTTGTTTTGCACCTCATGTTTGACAAGGGAGGACCTTTAGGCCAGCTTCTCACAATATCTTGCAACACAGAGAGAGAAGATCCAAAGTGTCTTTTTATTCACTCTGGTTAATAAGTGAAGGTCTCTGATTATGCCTCAAACTGTTAATGTTCATAAATACATAGATTTAATTAATCTCATTAGGGCTTTAAATATATTCCTCTTGTTAGACCAACGTTTATAATTCCATATGACAAATACAAGTATCCTATCCTCCCATTTCACCAGATAATGGTTAGTATTTCTTCACTATTTATGATGACACATTTATGTTTTATTGATTGTTTGTCATGCTTCACATTACAGGTCTACTTCTCATGACTCCAAGGCAAACAGAAGAGTTCCCCAAATGACACACTAAAAGTCAACAATACAACTCTCCAACTCCCAGCCTATACCTGTCGGCCTCAGTGCAGAATGTCTAAATGGCTGAATGATGGTGAAGTGCTGGTGGGTCAGGGCAGTGGGGAGGCAGTACTTCTGAGCCCCCGACCCCGGGGCCTCCCGTCTGGGAGCCCCAGGCTGGGCCGGGGGGCACGCACTCCGCTGACCTCACCCCGGGCCAGAGAAGCGTCGCCGTTAAGCCCCCTGGCAGAGACCATGGGCAAGGCCAAGGAGCTGTTTGTGCTGTGTGACAAGGAGGGGAAGGGGTTCATCACGAAGCGGGATATGCAGGTGAGCATCCGATGTGGTAGAATAACAACATTTAAGTTAATTGTAGAATCTTGAACTTTGTTTTTTCTATCCAGAGGCTACAAGGGGAGTTGCCTCTGTCCCCTGAGCAGCTGGAGACCGTTTTTGAGAGTCTGGACAGAGAGAGCAATGGATTCCTCACTCCTGTTGAGTTTAAAACAGGATTTGGTGAGTAGAGCTGCAACGAAAAGTCGATTTTTTTTAGCTTAGTCACTCGACAGAAAAATAGTCACTTCAATCGATTCATCCTCAATTAATTTTTTATACAAAAATATTTTATCTGCCTCTCAAATATGGAGATTTACTGTATTTCTCAATTTTATTATTCATATTACACTGAATATATTTAATATATGAAATCTAGTTTCAATTAATCCATTTGTCTTGAAAATATATATATAAATATTTTTCTAGTTTCGTCCCATTGTTAAATGTGCAGTTGTGAGAGATTTGAGAACTTAGTTCTCCATGACTTTGAGGGGAAAGCCACTGTTTTTTCACAAATCCTCTTTGCCTTTCTCTGTCTGCTGCAGGTGAGTTTGTGGGGCTTGATGATACGACTGAGCTGAGTCAAGTCGAAACAGAAGCAGATACAGAGCAGGTGGACTGGTCCCAGGACCCCTCTGCACTCAGACTGGTTAACATACTGACAGAGTTGGGCGCTGACAAAGTCTTTAAAGAGTAAGATCAATGTCATAAAGTGATATCTGTTTATTTTATTTTAGACTTAACACTTGTATTACTCATGACTTGAAAACTAGCAACAGAAGAGCACCATTTACACTCAGTTTATCAGGTAAACCAGGCTTTAATGCAGTTTAATTCAGAGTTGTTTCTGTTATTTAGCCTACCTTCATTGTCAAGAGTGTGGTGGCGAAATAGTAGAAACACCTTCCTGAATAATGCAAAACAAATCCAACTATATCCTTCAAAGTAATCACAGAGTTCATTCCAAAACTGAACCCTGCACCTGTTATACTGTTAGTGATTGGTGTTGTGCTGCTAAGGTCCTCAGCTGCTCTAACAGTTGTGTGTTGTGTGTCAGTCAGCAGGAGCTCTCCTTTGTGTGGTGTGAACTCCAGAGAGACAGACCGGAGCTGCTGAGCATCCTGGAGGGCGTCCTGATCCACGCAGTGTCCCATCTGCAGGACTCCATCAGAGAGAGAGACAGCCTGGAACAAGCTCTACGCAGGTACACACTTCCTCCCAATGTCCTCACAAACAACTCATCATGCCCCATTCAACTGTGAGTAAAAATCAATCAACTGTTTCTGTTTTAGACGCGAGATCGAACATGACCAGGTTGTTCGGTCCATAAATGAAGAAATGGAAAACCAAATCAGGGAGGAGAGAGAGAAACACCTGGCTCAGGTACATACTTGTGCTATATAGTCCACCCTTTGTGCCATTTACCTTTGTGTTCACGATAATAGCATTAAATGAATTTCTTGTGAATTAAAGGACAGTATTGGAAAGAAGCAGAGAGGACAAGAACTTAAGGAGGAGCTGAATATGCGGGAGCAGGAGTTGGAGAATACACTGACTAAACAGAAAGAGGTAAGTGTACAAACAGTACTCAAGTTTTCCTAAAGAGTTTCAGTTTTATGAGTAAATCATCCGGACCTGTCTTTATCCTAAGCTGGAGACCAGAATCCGGCAGCTGAGCTGTGAACAGGTAAACATCAAGGAGCAGAACCAGCAGCTGCGGAGCCTCAACGTGCAGCTGCAGGAGCAGGTGGAGAGCAGCCGGGAGCAGCTGCAGCTGGCCCTGGGTCAGCTCAACGTGATGCAGCTCAGCACTGCACAGGAACAAGTGTCCAAGCAGAGGTGAGGGATAACGGCATGTCATAAATAAAACAAAAACTGTTTTTTTCTAATAAACTAGTTTTAGTTGGGGACTATGTTATGTTGTATATTAACACACATTTGGTATTTTCTGGTGAGTAGTAGCAGTAAGACGGTGTTTGTAGAATCAACATGGATTAAACTACAGTGACCTTGTTCATCGTAATGAAGGAGTTCAAGTATATCAGGTTTTGGCAGAATAGGCAGTACTAAAAAGGAATAATTTATTGTTGGTTTTGGTCTTTTCCTGGGATTTGTCGACAATAAGAAGAATATAGATTCATTTTCCTCAATCTTTTTTGATTTGCTCCAATGTAGAAACGTGATGAAGGTGTCGAGGAACATGCAGAAAGAGAAGGATAGTCTTTTCAAACAGCTGGAGCTGCTGAGGTAGGTCTTAATAACTGCTGTTGCTGTTTTAATCAAGTTCATATGTTGTGAAGTAAAATACATTTCTCCACAAAATGTGTAAATGAAAAAGGTCTGTAAGGAACTTATGCAATTCCGGTGTGTTAACTCTCCTTTTTTTTTTTTACTAACCCACCTATAAACAGTAAAAGGCATGATCTTTGTTTTAATTGATTTTCTCTCTCTGTGTCAGGGACATGAACAAAAGGCTGCGAGATGAGAAAGACGCCCAGCAGTCCCAGAAGAGGGTTAGTCACAGACGCTCTGTCCTTCCTCCTCTGCCTCTCACTTATTACCTCAGAGAAGACCTTTGTACCCCGTGGACACAGCAGATTTATCCAACATAAGCTAAGTCTATGAACGGCTTCATGCTTTATTTCATCCTCTGGACAATGATTATTTATATGGGCAGCTTTTATTGGTGGTTATTCATTGAACGTTTGTTCAGTGACCCTGTTTGGGGTTTTGGGATGTCAGCACTTTTTCTCTTTCTTGTAAAGGTAGTCAATGGAGTGAAGGGTTTTGTTGAAAAGACATTTATTCTATCTGTGCCAATTTGAAGAAAAAAAGCATTTATATATTTAATATTGAAGGTGAACAAAAATGGGTCAGTATTTAACTAACTACCAATCCTTATTATATTGAAGGACTGATAATTATACGCAGGTTCCCTTTATCCAATCCACATTTTTACATATGACAGTTTTGCCAAACCTGTAACCGTTTTTCTTTTTTTACAAATTCTTCCAAGAATGTATCTTGATCAAAGTTTCTGAACAAATGATTTATGTATAGTTTGTCTGTGTATAGACAGGTTGTAATGTAAACCAATGCCATTTATAGCCTAAGCTAACTAGCTATGTCCAACTCTAAAGGATAGGGATGGATAATAGCGAGATCATTTACAGATACTACAAAATATTAATTAAAAAATATATAATTTCCATTACACAACAAACGCCTGCTGTTTATATCTTGTATATTTGTCTTGTCAAATAGTTTGTAATCAAACATGTGTATTGGTGATAAATGATGATGATGATGTTAAACTTCTATGCAGTAGAATAAACTTCTTGCTTTTTAAACATCTGCCTTTGTGAAACAATAAGTATGTCTTCAGAGAATACAGTGTACATAACCATTGAAACAAATCTTACAAATTACACAAACCTTAATGCTTCTCATTTCTTCTGCCTTACTTTTCACGAAAATCCTTTAGAATCCAAATGTCACAAAGCCTTTGCGGAAGCAAGGGTCAGTCATAGGTAACTACTTACTGCAAGACAAGCCATTGAAAAGGTTTGTATGACCAACCGCGCCGACATCACATTTATCATATTTGCATTAATGCTAGGCAGCAACTAATGTTATGTGTATTCATTGATTCTAAAGACAGCTGAGCTCATCCGATGAGCTGGAGCAGGAAAAAGAGACAGAAGTGACAAATTCATCCAAGAGACACCAACCGTCATGTAGAGTCAGGTGTGAAAATGTTGAGCAGGTGCAAACTCAGGTAGGGAACATATTGATAATAACATGAATCCCAAATGCATCAATTTTATAACACATTTAAAGCTCTTTATTGATAAACATGCTACTCAGAGGCTTGTTATAATCTGCACAGCTATGATGGAGTTTACATTAAATATATATGTTTTTTAATCTATACACGACATCTATTGCATGGCTGTCCGTCCTGGGAGAGGGATCCTTCTCTCCTTCGATTGCTCTCGCTGAGGTTTCTTCCACTTTTTTCCCAGTTAATTGTGGGGTTTCTTTGGGAGTTTTTTCTTGTCTGCTGCGAGGGTCTAAAGACAAAAGGTATTCTTTTGCTGTGTAAAGAATCAAATGTGTCATTTATAATATTGCGCTATATAAACAAATATGTATTCTCTTAAATGCAAAGAAAAAAATGATAAGTGTGGTCCTTTTACCTGAATTTTAGAGCACAATTGTCAGTCCTCAGCGAGTGTTCAAGGTGGTATTCCTTGGTAACTCAGGGGTGGGTAAAAGCTCCCTCATCCAGCACTACTGCACAGGACACTTCTATAGTAACATGAGCGCTACTGTAGGTAAGCTTTTCTTTTATTTTCACTCTTTCACAATGGCTAATGTGCTCCTGAGTAAATATATGTCAAACATATGACACCCTAAGTCTTTGTTGCTTCCAGGTATAGATTTCCAGATGAAGAGCCTGTCTCTGGGCTCCACCACCGTCACCCTGCAGCTGTGGGACACTGCAGGACAGGAGAGGTCAGATTCCTGCGATTACCCGTCTTGTGCTTTTTTGTGGCATGATTGTATTGTCTGTACACACAAACTGAAAGACTGACAATAAAGTTGACTTTGACTTTGATTTTACATGCCATTTGAGGTTTAGTTTTTCATTGCCTCCTAATATTGAGCTATTTATGGGTGTGTTTTCTTTTCTTATTCCTTATGTGTGTTCAGGTTTAGCAGCATCACTGAGCAGTACTACCGTAAAGCTGACGGTATCCTTGCCATGTATGACGTGACTCAACCCTCCTCCTTCACCGCTGTGAGAGGGTGGATGGACTCTGTGAAGGTAAGCAGGTGGTGAAAAACATGCAAAACAGTTTAGGATACTTTTGCATACACATGCTTGTGATTGACAATACAAACATTTCTATGTCAACATGTGCCATCTGAGTGATAAATCTGAGCGTCCATTTTAGTTTGATATTTGTGTAGATTTTGTGATATCTTTCCCTCAACAATGTTGTGTTGTTAAAGTGTGTTGTATGTCTGTCCCAGGAGAAGATGTGTGAAGGTGCGGTACTGATGCTGCTGGGGAACAAGCTGGACCTGGCAGACACACACAGCAGAAGAGTGACGACATCCGAGGGGCAGGGACTAGCAGAGGTTAGGCACATTTGAATATTCAAACAACTTTGTGCGGTGATTTACTCACAATGACACCGCTAATCCCTGAACATTATCTTGGAAATAAGTCTGTCATTTATTTTTTTTACTTCCTGGATTATACAGCAGCACCAAGCTCTGTTTTACGAGTGCAGTGCTAAAAGTGGATGTAACATGGAGGAGCTGATGACTCATCTGGCTAGGTATGGCATCTTGTTTCTTTGCTGTCTGACATCCACATCTAGAGCCTGCAAAATGTTTGTATCTGCTGTGTTTGCATTTTGTTGGTACACTTAAGTGTAGCAAATCCTCACAATCGATAGACTGGAATTAGAAAATGTTTGTTGCTGATTATTCATTTTAATTACTAACTGTTTTAACACTTTTAACAAATGTATTCTACTATAATACATATAAAGGGGATGTACCTGATAAACTAGAATCTGAGTGTAGTTTATCTCCTAATTTTAATCATAGACAAGACATGGAGCAATGCAACCGGATCAGCAGTGTGAACTACAAACCCATTTTTATTCTCAAATGTTGTGGTTTCTGCTGCACAATGATCCCATCATTTTTTTCATTTTAGGATGTTGGTCTCCCAGCTTGATCGTAAATGTGAAGATGCAGTTTTACTGAGTCAAGACATGACTAAAAAAGTCTGCTGTTGATAAACGGACGACAAAAGTTTTAAAAAATAAAGACTTCTAACTAAAACTCCCAGGTTCCCAAGTTCTGTGGTCACTTAGTTTTAGTTTAGTTTAGTTTATTTATTTTTTTCGAGCGTGTAAAACCAAAGAATCAAACAGTGATATTATCTATGAACAACTTTACATTACAGTATCTGTAACAGTTATTTATAATCCATCCAATAAAACACATTTTTGATAACTCCTTTGTTGTCTCAGTCATTTTTTAAGAACATCTTCCAAGCTGCACAATTGTATTAGATCTCATATGCGTGCGAATCCAGCTGGGGGCAGCCATGTTCTCCATAAAGCTGGTGGAGGGGTGAGCTGCCTGCTGAGCCAAAAGCGGACTCAGACGCCTGAGTAGGAGGCTCTGGTCTGAGTGTCAACTGAGAACCGACGCTGTTGCCGTTAACCTTCATAGACACAGCACATCGACACTGGGGTTGGTGGGATCTGGGAAGACGTTGCCTCGATAATCGACACTCTCACGGCCCTCCATCTAAAATCAGGTAGGAGTATTTTAGTCTCAACGGAAAGGGAGAGCAGTTTTTCCATGACACAATGAGTTAAAAATAACTTTTTATGTTATGACCATTAGGAGCTGCCTGACAGTCACATTTTCACATGTAATACTTTGTCTTGTGAATAGAAAGACAGTATTTTTCAGGTGTTAGTGTCACTTGACTCTCTCTGGAGATTGTCTTTGTTTTGTGTGTGTGTTTATTCTCACACTGCATGATGCTCAGAGACACAACTTAAAATAGAAGTAGTGTAAAGTTTATTTCAGGTTAGGATAGAGACAGACTAACTCATAAAGAGTTCAAAGTCAACAGTGTATCACTGGAGTGTGAGAATATTACATTTCATTTGGCTGACGCTTTTATCCAAAGCGACTTACAATATATATCAAGTTAAATGGCTGGGATGGGCACATATATATATCTGTCTGCTTGATGACATGTGACACAAGTTAAGTATGTTTTCCCCACAACATATTTGATTTCATCTTGGACATGTTTCCATGACTCTGTTTGACCAACTTTCAAAATGCACCACATTTCATTTTTGGCAAACTTTTAGATTATACTCAAAACTAACACATACAAAACGTTAAATACTAGTCCGAATATGATATGTGTGCTGTAGTGAAGCATGTCAATCAGACTGAAAGAGGAAATTCCTAAATGTTTATGGTGACCAGTCTCAATCAGATATGGCCCTAATAGGATTTAGTTTGCGGTCCTACGAGTACAAAGATAGTAAATTGTGTGATAATAATCTTTGCTTTAGTATTAATGCAGAGTCGACTAGCTCTCTGCTTGTGTTCATTATGTCTATGTTTTTCAATCTTCTCCTGAAAGTTTTTCATTTGGTAATGCACATCAACATAAAGTGTACTAACATGTATATTTTCTATTTCAGAATGGAAGCTCAAGGTGGAAACAGACTCAGCTGTGGGACAATTTGTCTGAAGTATTTACTTTTTCTCTTTAACATTCTGTTTTGGGTAAGTCAACAAAACTCTATGTTAAGAGCTCCTTTGGATACTGGGATAAATATGAATACCATTAGTTGTAATAATAAACGTTTACCTATAATAGCCATATGCCTCAGAGACTAACATAGAGGTTCCTCTTACAACACTGTGTCATATCACAGCTTGCTTTCATTTCTATTGTTGGAGAAACAACTTCCTTATATTCAATGAAAATGTGTATAATGCCCCACATAGTTTCAATAAATACAATTATACAAAAAAACCTACCCATCAGCTAATAAAAACTAATTTAGCTGAAAGTTTCTTGAGGCTGGCAGGGAAAGAAGAAGGCGTTGTCCTTTTGCATCACTGTCACATTTTAGGAGCTCTTTAAAAACATTATGTGGAGCATTCTTCATAAGAGCATCTGGTTTGAGTTGTTCTGATAACGGTGCGTTCCTTCAGCTGGCAGGAGCGGCTGTGCTGGCAGTGGGAGTGTGGACTCTGGTGGAAAAGAGCGACTACATCAGTCTACTGAACTCCAGCTTCTACTCGGCCTCAGCTTACATCCTGATAGCTGCCGGGGTCATTGTGATAGTGACCGGGATCATCGGATGCTGTGCCACTCTGAAGGAGATGAGGGCTCTCTTGATTGTGGTAAGATGGAGCAGACGCAAAGCAGTGCCCAGGGACCGAGAAATTAAATTACATTTAAATATTAATATAGTTAGATTTTTCTTCAGTCCCCTGAAGCAATAACCTATTTTTAAAAGAATATGTCACCCCCAAAATAATTGTTTGTCTACAAATCCCTCCATGGGGAAAGAGGAAACAAAAAATTGAGAGAATTCCTGATGAATTTAAGTAAACGGGGCACATGCTTAAAGACAGGAACACTTTATCAAAGCACTCTTTTACAAGCACTCTTTCAACTTGTGTAATATAATATCACTTTATTCCTCTAGTCGTATGCTCAATAATTTCCAACCAAATAGAAACTCTTTTATTTGCTATAATGAACTCTAAAATGTGCTCTTTCACTGATGTGCTACTTGTCTGTCACTGTACTGTTGAAGCAATAGCACTGAGTTTGAGCCTAAATGCATGTGTTTGGGAAGTATTGAGCATACAACTGGATAAATAAGACATGGATTATTTTTGCACAAGTTGTGTGAGAGTTTGTAAACAGATGTTTTGATATAGTTTTCCTTTTTGTTCTAAATCTAAAATGCCTCTGTTTTTGTTTCATCGTTCACAGTAGATGTATGCGAGAAATATAAAGTTTGATATAAGAATCTAAGGAAGTTATATACACATGATCGTTTTTGGGGTTTAGTGTTCCTTTAATTATGTTGAATCAAAAACCAAGGATAGCCCCTTCAAGCTTCCTGTTTATACACACAACCTGTCCGAGTCGTCGTGTGTTGAAAGTTAATCCCTGGTGACCTTCTGTCTCGTCTGCCTGCCTTCAGTGTGGGTCATTATGTCCGGCAGGGCTGTCAGATACAACAGACAAGTCACGCAGAGTGTGTCTTTAAGAGTTTAGATTTAGAGTGCGGCTCATGCCAGAGGAATGAACGGCATCGCAGGACTGAAGAGTGTGTGAGAGAGACAGACAGACACTAGTGAGAGGGTATTATACAGAAGTAAAACTGCACAAGCTCTATGACGCTATGTCTAGTTCCATATTTACCACAACTGTAATAATGAGTAACATCCTACCCCCCATTTGAATCAGTAATTCACTGGAGTAAAACTTTTATTTTGTTTTTAAGTCATGAACAGGTACTTTTTAAAGCTATTGCCATGTCTAAAATTATATAAAATGTCGTATGTTAGCACAGAAATGCACTGTCTTGTAATGCTTGAATTGATATGTTTCAACTTCAGTTCATTTATAGCTCTGTTCATGTTTATTTCTCGTCCATCCCCTTCAGTATTTGGTCTTGTTGATCTGTATTTTCCTGCTGGAAATCATTGCTGGCGTGCTGGCTTACATAACCTACCAAGAGGTAAAGTATTTTACATATAGTATACTGACTGATAGTCCAACATAAAGTCATTTTCAACCTAAATATGTCTTTATAAGGTCTTGAACAGTGTGTACCAGATGATTGTATTGTTGTTCACTAGACACCATTTATATGAGATTGGACTGCAGCAATTGAAAAAGACAATTCCTTTTCTTTCTGTATATTTTGGTTCTTCCATAATCCCTTAATGTTTTGAAAACTATTCATTTTTTCTTCGTCATTTCTATTCAAATGGTTTTACCACTGAAGAAACACCTGCATGTCTGCACTCTGTTGTGAAATCTTCTCTGCATGCCTCTCTGTGCATGTTTTTCATTTGTCCTGTTTTTCCATCCTTCTCACATCTCTCTCTTCCTCCCTTTTCTTGCTCCAGTGTTTCCCTTTCTGCTACCAGGTAATCTGCTGCCACCTGTCTCCATTTTATATCAACCTGTTTCTCTGACAGGTTGATATAAAATGGATTGTTTGCACTTATTCAGTCGAGAAACACACAACTTATTTGCAAATTTGTATTGTTTTCCATTTGGTAAATGTTCACGTAGAGCTAGACATTGCTCATATATTTTGAGTATTGTGAGTCCATTGAACAGGTAAAGAGGAATGTTACAAGGGAGGAAAGAAACTTGACATGGGGTTATTTTAATTAAAGGGATGACATTTTCAGATAGCAGATATCTTTTTTTGAGTAACCACTAAAGTTGTGATTTCTTACTCTCAGCTGGATGAGGAGCTCAGACAGAACCTGAAGGTGACCATGCAGGAGAAATACAAGCAGCCGGGCGAGAATGGCGTCACGCAGGCTGTGGATAAACTCCAGCAGGAGGTGTGGAAATTACACTTTATGTTTAAATCACAGATGATTTAAGTGCCAGACGGACAAAAAGTAAGACCACATCAACAACTTAAATTTGGATAGCGATGTGAATACAATTCAATGTTAGTCAACGTTGTCTCCTCTTTTTCTCTCATCTATTTAATGCAGGCACACTTATATATAAAGTACACAAGCATTTGATGACACGGCCGTGACGAAGGCTTATGTTTATTTTGTTTGTGAGGATAATTGACACCTTTATTCTTTCTTCTGTCCCTCTCTGCACCGGCTCCCTCTCAGTTTAAGTGTTGTGGCAGTTACAACTCCTCAGACTGGAGAGACTGTGCGTGGATCCAGGAACCACACAACAAGCGTCTCGTTCCTGACAGCTGCTGTAAGAGTCCTGATGACCTCTGTGGCCTCAGGGACCATCCCTCCAACATCTACAAGGTGGAGGTAGGGAGAGCGGTCTGAGTGGATTTCAGGGTTCTTACGGTCATTAAAAACCTGGAAAAGTCATGGAAATTCAAAATGCTAATTCCAGGCCCTGGAAAAGTTATGGAAAACAATATTTTTCCCAAAGTTTTGGAAAAGTCATGGAAATTTAACTAAAGTTGCATCAAATATAATTTATATTTTATCTAATCGCCAAAATAGTAATACTATAATGATAATACATACTGTATAGTAATGAAACGTAAAATGGCATTTAACTGTCGAGGTATTTTGCTGGTGAGAGATTTTAGTTGCTTTAGCGTGAAGAAGCTAGTAAGCCTACTATTGGATTTGTTTTAGATAGGCACAACATGTTTCATATGCAGACCTTATTTTCCTGTTCCATGTTAAAATAAACAATGTTCAGTGGTACCGCTGAGAAAGAGTAATGTTTTTGGTCATGGAAAATTAGGTAAAGGTCATGGAGAAGTCATGGAAAAGTCATTGAAAATCATTGGTGAAAAAGTGTATGAACCCTGGGATTTGGATTAATGTGAAGTTAAAACTATGTATTAATTGATTTCCTCTCTCATGCTTCCAGGGAGGCTGCATTATGAAACTAGAGGAGTTCATCCTGAGTCAGTTGTATATTCTTGGTGCAGTGGGCATTGGGATTGCATTTTTACAGGTAAAGAGCAAAATATAACTTAACATTAACTTATTTTGTAATGTTAAATGCTAAACAATGAACAATGGTTTACTTTGTGCAGTGGGAAATTAACCATTTCCTCTTTTCTTTTCTCTTTCAGCTTGTGGGGATGATGTTTACTTGCTGCCTCTATCAAAATTTGAAAGAGGATCCGTACTGATTTTTGACTTTCTTTAATAATGCAGATTGTGTAAATTGTAAAATGTTTAAGTATTTTAATTCCCCGTTATTAACTGAGTTGTGGATGCTGTGAAGTTGCCAATTCAAAGTATAACATGATTATTGCCAAAACAGCTACTAAAGATGATGATGTAATGCTGCTGGGCAGCGATGTCCTTTTTATGCTAAATGCCATTGCATGCTCTAAATACATTCTACTTTTTATCAAAAAATATAATGTGTGGATAAACATGTAACCAAAAACACACGTTTTAAAGAGCATAGAAATATAAGCAGCGTGTTGTTTCATTTAACAATCAGAGATAGTCTTGTTGATTATCTTGTTTTTTATCATATCGTGTTTACCAACATTTTAATAAATAATATATAAATCAAAGATATTTTTTGTTTGTTAAAATGCAAATAAAATGCTTGCCATTTGAACATTGTCATTTTGTGACAGTGAACTTTTATTCTGAAATCCTGCAGCGGATGTTGTTGTCAGCTGACAGTACTTCCTCCTCCTCGCGGATTTTCTTGCTTGAATTCGCTCACAATTACATTGTTATTCATTTCCTTAAACAATATTTAATGTGGAATTAACACAAAAACAATTGAAATGTCTGCAAAACCAACTTGTCTGATTGTGGCGAGTGCGTCTCCTCAAGGTGAGTCAGTGCTACCGGCTGATGTGTAATGTGACGTTAACAGAGATAATAACACAAAGTGAGTTTACTACAGAGTTTTCTATCAATTAGAGCTCAGCTGGCGTTATTTATTAACTTTAATAACAAGTTAACTGAAGTAAAACATATTTTTCTAGCTATCTTTTTGCATAACAGTAAGGCTAAGTTTTCTGTGATGAGCTCTGATGTTTGGTGTGTTTTGATCTTCCAGGGGTTTCAGCAGCTTCTTTCCATCAGTCCTTCAGCCTCTGTTCCTCCGTGTTCAACCTCCAGACAGCCACACCTGGGGTAATACTGTTGTACCTGCTTTAGTGGATAGTCACTAAATGCATATACTGAAGTATTGTATGATACACGTGGAAACAGAAAGGAAACTCTGTTTTAAACCAAAAATGTGTACATAAACCGTAAGAAGGTAGAAGAGCAACGCCTTATTTGTAGCAATGTTTCTGGTTGAATTGTCCAATCAGACAATTGTTTTTATTGCAGGGAAAGCCAATAGACTTTGTTGGAGTGGATGAAAGCACTGCTAGATGGGTGCAGGACTTCAACGTGAAACCCTACGCAACACCAGCCAAACTTGAATCCATAGATGGTGAGGAAAATTATTTCATGGTAAATTGGCTGTTTTCATGTGCTCTGGTGGTTAGACTTTGCTCAGTCATGTCATGATGACCCTCTCCAGGTGCTCGATACCAGGCGCTGCTCCTCCCAGACTGCCCCGGGGCGCTGAACGACCTGGCACACAGCGGGTCTCTGCACCGCATCCTCACACACTTCATCTCCCAACAAAGTGAGTGTGAGGCTAACCTTAAAAAACTGTCAGTATTTAAAGTATAAACCTGGTGTGTAGAGCCTTGTTTGTTTTTCTGTGTGCAGAACCTGTTTGTGCTGTGGGACAAGGAGTGTCCGCGCTGTGTTGTGCCACAGAGGGACAGAGGTGGATCTTCAGTGGATACAGCTTAACAGGGGTAAGTCTTCCTCAATTAAACATGAAGGTAGTATCAAGGGCTGTGATATATCCTTTCAGCAACAACATAAGGAGGTCAAATTGTATGCGAAAAATGTGTACGTGCAATGTAAGGTAAAGCATATCAATTTAAAAATGTCATGCTACAACATTTGTGCTTCTTTATATGAATATGTAAACTTGCAGAGTTCTCGAAACAGGTGCTGCATCATCACATGGTGAAAATGATTGTATGTTTTTGTGCTGCAAAAATAAAAAAATATTGCAATGACATTTTATTGAACATTTTGGATTTCTTTTTTAATTCGTGTTATTGTGAAGATGATGCTAAATGTTATTCCGAATCTAATTGAACTAAAGGGATTTAAGCTTTCCGAACCCTGTAAAGAAAAAATTCAAGTGTAATATATTTAATCACAGTTTCTATTTCTGCTGAAAGCCCTCAGTGTTTGAACTGGTGCGGAGGCCTGACTTTGCCAACCTGCCCTTGGTCGTGGAAGACTTTGTGAAAGACAGTGGTGGATCGTACACAGGTGAGCTGAACTGCAGAGCATGGACATTAAGTAGGTAGAGTAAATAATAAGGATTTCTAAAACTCTCTCCTGTTTATATCTTTGTTTTACAGCAAGTCAAGAAGATGCCGTGCATGTAGTCATAGACAGACACCTAATAACTGGTCAGAATATGCAGTCAACATCACTTGCTGTAAATAATCTAATCCTGCTTTCAAATGCCAAGTGAAAAAAAAAAAATCAGGAGCACTCAAATCCATCAACTCAGTTGTTTCACATTTGTATTCATGTAAATAAACAAACATTCATCTCAGACAAATATTGGAAGACACTGATTCAGAACAGATGTTTGGCACCACTGTAAATACAACTTCATAACTTTCCAATGTTGTAATTATAAACTGATAAAAGCCACACAATCAAATGTCTTGATTTATAATTTGAAAAAATGAGAGAAAGCAGAAGCAGTTTTGAGAAAGCAGAAGCAGTTTTGAGTATGTTTAAAGAATCTTCACAGCAAGCAAAGCTGCGACTGAAAGCAGAAATGTGAGCAGCAGAATATTTCTGGATCTGGACTGAAGAGAGGCTGCAGATGTCTGCTGCTCGCGAACAAAAGAAGAATGTACCCTTCATTTAAAAGTTTTACCTATTGATGATCATGCACTCTGTTGTGTCACTGCACTCTGACTGAACTGTACAAGTTAAAAAATGTTACCACAATTCTACCAATGAAATGGAATAAAACATACTGAAGTACCTTGTGTCTGCTGGTAGTACCTTACGAATTAACAGATTACTGTTTTTCTCATGTAGAGAACATTTCAACATTTTCTGGTCCAATAAGCTGAATTGTATTTAAATACATTCTTTCAGATTTCTAACTCAGTAACAAAACACACAAAAGTATAATTCCTGCATACAGAGCTTGATCTTTTGATGCTTCCCTGTTCAAGGAAAAAAGAGAAAATCCCATGTGCTGATGCTCCAAAGTCCACAGGTGTCACTACTGGAGCCAACTCTCATAGGAGATCATAGAAATAGTCCAGTCCTTGTCCTAATTCCCATAAGGAAACTCCTGTTCCCAGTTCAGTAGCTAAAGAGATCCTCAGGTATAGTGACTGTAAAATAAGTAAATTATGTTAAAGTAGCAGTAAACACAATAATAACACTTTGGTTAAAAAAGTTATTTTCATGATCTAAAAATGTGCAAAAGACTTACCTTCAATGAGGGATAGTACACCACATGCTTAACAGCGTTGTTCCTATAAATTAACGTCACAAATTGTGTTAGAAGATTGTGTCTGGAGATTTTATTTGTTAATTGTTTACTTTAAGATAAATTAATTAATTACCTCTTATAATTGAAGTAATGCTCTGCAGACTGTTCGTCCCACAGAAGTTTTGGCCTATTTTCTCGCAAAATCTCGATGTACCTGCAGGAAACCAGAGACAAGTTAGATCATAAATAGATCATTAAATTATTTTCACAGCCTTTTACCTATAGACTTCTTAGCTTCTTGTTACTGAATGACACAAAACTGTAACACCAAGGTTTGGAAAAAAAAGTGTGTAAAAAAATAATTACGCTAAAATATAACTGAAGTATTCCAGTAGTAGTCACAGTATTAGCTCACCTTCCTCCCAGGAGTGGCTCCGTTCCCTGGCTTGCAAAATCAAGGCCATACATATTGAGTCCAAGCAGGATCTTTTGCCTCCACTGAGTGTTGGGAGCTAGCTGGAGAACACAGTCTCTCATCCAGGGCAGGGGGGAGCTCGGGCCCGCTCTATTGAACAAAAACAAACCCATAGCAACTCAGAACATTGTCAGCATTAATACTGTGCATCTCCTTCTGCATCACTGGCTCTCTCACCTGGCACCGCTGGAGTAGTCGTACGTCATGAGGCTGAATCCATCCACGACAGGGGCCAACTGCTCAAACTCCTCCCTGCCAAACAGCCCCGGCTGCCCCGTACTGATAACGACAGGAAGGAAAAGAAGCAAAAGGGGGAGTCAGCACCAATTTATTCGGATTTATTGTCACTGAAAGAAAATGATTCTACTCACCTGGTCACAGCAGGAGGGATGACAAGAATGCAGTCTAATCTTTTAGCCTTCAGAGTCTCACATATGTGTTTCACCATATGTACAAGCTCCCTGTATGAAGATTATTTTACATGTTTGATTATTTGTATTGCCTTCTTGAAGCGTCAGACAAAAGAATAGTAATAATAAAGAAGGGTCAATAGGATAACTCACTTTCTTTTGTCTCCGCCCAGCTGGCTCCACACCTCCAAGGTGAAACCATCGAAACCTTCAGTCTGCAAAAACACAGCTTCATTAGACACAGGACAAAAAACACTTTCGCAAGAGAGTTAAAGCTAAACAAACCAATTTTTTACCTTTGCAACATCCACCAGCTCACTTCCCAGCTCTTCAATTTCATCTTCACTCGCCAGCACACTCATGTAGTCCTGGTAAGACCAGCCATCAAATAACAGCCGAGGCACTGAGGGTAAACAAATGTAAGCAAATAAAACCAACAATAGATTCTCATCCGACACTACTTGCACACATTCACAGATCTGAATTGTGGGCAGTGGAGAGGACATCTACTTACCCATCCTGACTTTTTTGTTAGACTTGCGTACAGCTTTGACCCAGCCTGGAGAGACAGAAAGAGCCCTTTATTAACATATATTACTAAACACTTCCTATTTGACTGTCAATGACGCAAGTTCTCTACCTGGGTCATGATCGTGCAGTCCGGTAACGTCAAAGGTTTCAGGTCCTCGTCGGCGGACCTGAAGCCAAACTGGACACAATGAAGTCAGTTTAGCACCAAACATCTTGGCAACGTCGTAGCCGTGGGCATTCCACTGGAGGATAGGGGAAAAAAGGACATGTGATTACAAAATATTGAGTCAAAACATCCTACACAGGAAGGATAAGTTCAAAGTAAAGGACCGTTGAAGTATATCTTAATACAACAGCTGCATGTCTACATGTTTAATGAAACGGTCTCTGCAATACTTTCTCCTCTCCATTCTAAAAATCGATAACATCCTGGTACAACAGACGGCCGTCACACTGAGTAACTTCTAAAGTAGGTAGCAATCACTCTTTTATTTTATCTGCAGGTTTTTATAAATTATTTGATCGATTATTATTATTAATATGAAGACTTTTTTTTTTTTAATATATAAATATTATCATGAATGTGGATAAATACTGTATTTTAACAATACGGTATTCTATTTTTCACATTTGTTATTATTTTTTTTTTTAATCTGTTCGAAATAAAGATTGAAATGAAATGATTAGTTGTTTTGTTTTTTAGAGTCGAATACACCAAAACGGATATGCTCAAATTGCGCTTTTTCCAACAAGCAGTGTAGAATCAACAGATCTTTAATTTACCATTGCACGAAACTGCTCTTATCTTTTCTGTAGATAATGCAGCATCAGAGGCATTTGACATTCTTGCTTGCAATATTAGGTCAATTATAAATAGATATTCAAAAAGTTGCCAATTATTTACTCAGGACTTAAACTTGTAGCAGAGTATTTTTTCTGTGTAGTACCATATCCCAGTATTTCTTCCGGCAATGCATAGTCTGTGAGTATTGCATAAATTATTAATCTAAACGTATCGTTTAATGCTGTGTTGTCATGTTATACAGTCTATGTTTGAACAGTAGCAAGGGAGGATGTAGATGTGTTTTTGACTTACAGGTGTGACATATCCAAGCACTGGTCCTTGAAAGGTTCTTTTGATCCGAGCCCAGTTTCTCTTTTCCTCCTTCACTATGTCTTTCCAGAGCGGGTCTGACACAACCAGGCCTCTCTCCAGAACAGACAGCTCAGATAGCGATGTCTAAACAGTGAGATCAAAATTAACAAAACATTTCAGTGACAGATAACAATCATATTCATGACTACAAACATGACAAGTGGATCATAAGGGGCTTCTTCCTGATTCTGGACAGTCAGGTAAGCCCAGTGAAATGTCAGGCAGACAGACGAGAGGTTGTTTGACCTGCAGCACACAGCTCACACTTATTTCAAGGTAAACACCAGAAGTTGTACTCACCTCAGCATCAGCTGCTTTATGCGACTTCTTTGCATCCTTTTTTGAAAGAGTGGCACTGACCAAACAGAAGCATGAGATGGCGTGCAGCAGAAATAATGTCGTTCTCATTTCCAAACAAAGGCAGTGAAAGGGAGCAGTGAAGCTGTTTAATATAAAATGTGTTAGCCGCTCACAGTCTGCAGGTTTGCTGTGCAAGTGCTTCCTTCCTGAATGAGATCTGGTAGATAAAACCACCCAGCATATCCTGCTGCGGTTTGAAGACTCACAGAACAACGAGCCAAAAAAGACCCGTTCACACTGCTGAAATGTACAGTTAATGACAAACAACCTGGTTCAGACTATCGGACGGGTTGATTGACAACTTAGCTCAACGTGTTTCTTTCTGGAGCGTCAACGAAGCTGGGTGACTTCCGGTTGCGTGTTTTTCAAAATAAATGTATGTGAGTGCGCTAAGTCATCTGAGCCGATAGGTGGCAGTGTAACTATCATGCTAACAAGCTAGCGCAACAAAAGAAGACGGCAATGAGTTCAACAAACACACTGGTGTAATGTAGATATTTGCAGGATATTTCAAAGTTCTCCCGCATGAATAACATTAAGGTTTCTGCTTTCTGCTCACCTGTGGTCTCTTCAGGTAACTACATTATCAGTTGAGTGTCATTTTCTCCTGCTAGCTGTAGCTAAAGTTAATCAGTTTTTGAGTGCAGTGTGGTTAGCACTTAGCAAGCTAACATGTCAGCATTCAATAAGCTTTTAACGTGTTTATACTATTGACTAAGCTGTACCCTGCCTGTGTTCCCTCGTTTATTACCTTACATTGTTATTCCTTATATTAAAGTGGAGTTAAAAGTATTTGTCACTGAGGTGCAGTGGGTATGGATGTTTAAAGTTGCATAGTATGGATATATAACAAAGTAGAATTACCTCACTGTAACTGTACTTAAGTAAAGTTCTTGAATAAATACAGTTAGCTACATTCCCCCACTGATGAGATGTACCCTTGATAATGAGAGAACTATCATATCCATAAAGGACAACAACAGTTTTTAGTATGACCTTTTCTGTTTTCTATTGTCTGTAGCCTAAGGGAAGTGTAACTAACATAATGTTTTGGATCTGTGCTGAAACATTGATAATCTTTTCTGTCTTTTTAGTTAGCAATGGCGGTGGAACAGTTTGTGTCAAAAACACTTGAGCTTCTACAGGAGGAAAGGGAGGCTGAAATAGAGGAGAACAGGTAAGAAAGAATAACATCCAGACTGTAATACTTAACTTAATAATTGGATAATTTGGCAATTTTGCTATGCACTTCCCTGAACTTAGGGATTTTGGAAAAAGATCCTACACTCCAAAGAATTACGCTTGGTAATCCCTCTACCGGACTTACCTTAAATCTGTGACTAAAACACTACAATGTCTTGTTTTGTGCCTGCAGGATATGGCAGGAGAACACCTCTCTGAAGGATCTTCAGAGTAAAGGGGTTTGCCTGCTGAAATTGCAGATAAGCAGTCAGTCCACAGGTCTGTACGGTCGCACAGTTGTCATCTTCGAGCCACGGAAACATTTGGGTTTTACATCTCTGCCAAGCAACAGCTTTGGACCTGGTGAGAGGGAATATTTAAACGTCAGATCTGTGTGTTTCTGTGTGACTGTAGTTTAATTATTTTTGCTTAATAATTAAACATTTATGTCTTTGTAATAGGTGACATAGTGGGCTTGTATGACACTGGTGGATGCACCGCAGCCTCACAGATTGGCACAGGGATAGTGACAAGGGTCAGCCAAACTGCGATAAGTGTGGCCTTTGATGATTCTAACGATGGCCTCAGCTTCGATACAGATGGTCTTCACAACCTCTTAAAATTGGCAAATGATGTTACCTACAAACGAATGAAAAAGTGAGTGACATCTATAATATAAGACAAAAAAAAAGAGAGTTATGCAACCTGTGAAACATATTTTTACTTTTCCTGTGCTTGCAGTGCCTTGAATACATTAAATGGATACAGAAATGGACCAGCGGCCAATCTGATAGACGTTCTCTTTGGAGACTCAACACCTTCTTCACAAACACAGCCAAGTAAGTGACACTGAAATTGTGCCTACTGGTAGCACATCCAAACTTTTCAAATCAGCAAAAATCTTACAATACAAAGGACTAACTCTTGGTATCCTATAATGTTTCATCAGACGAGTTTAAATTCTTTAACTCCAACCTGGATGATTCCCAGAGAGAAGCTGTGTCCTTTACTCTGTCTCAGAGAGAATTAGCTGTGATTCATGGACCACCAGGCACTGGGAAAACCACCACTGTGGTCGAGATCATCCTGCAAGCAGTCAAACAAGGCCAAAAGGTGCAGAAAGTTTATATTTATTAGTGCATGTGTTAATACTTTTCCTCCTACTTATTATTTCCTTACATTTATCTGAAGTTGACCTTTTCGTAATTGAATGATGTGTTTGTGCAGGTCTTGTGCTGTGCTCCATCCAACGTGGCGGTGGATAATTTAGTAGAGAGGTTAGCCCAATGCAAGGCTAAAGTCCTGAGGCTGGGTCACCCTGCCAGACTGCTGGAGTCCATACAGAAACACTCACTGGACGCCATCCTCGCTCAGAGTGACAGTGCAGGCATCATTGCAGACATCCGTAAAGACATGGACAAAGCATTTGTACGTATTTAAGTGTGTGGTCCTCTTACTAGCATGTGTGACATTTTGAATGATTTCTAATATATATTTTTCTCAAGGTGGGAATAAAGAAGATGCGTGAAAGAGGAGACCGGGTGAACTACAAAAGGGAAATAGGGGAGCTAAGAAAAGAGCTGAGGACCAGGGAGGCAACAGCCATCGCCCAGATCCTCAAAAGTGCTGATGTTGTGTTATCAACCAACACAGGTCAGTTAGGGCTCCGGGTGAAGATAATGTATTTCAGTGATGATGAAAGGCAATCAGAGAGCACTTGTTTGTGTCTGCAGGTGCTTGTCACACTGGTCCGCTGAAGTACCTGCCAGCGGAGCACTTTGATTGGGTGGTGATAGACGAGTGCGCTCAGGCGCTGGAGAGCAGCTGCTGGATCGCCCTGCTCCGAGCGCGCAAGTGCATCCTGGCTGGAGACTACAAGCAGCTTCCACCGACCATCAAATCACAAAAGTAAAGAAACAAGAACCCAATTTCATCTTTTTGTGCATTCATATGTTTTAAAGAATTCATTTTATATTGGTCCTGCTGCAATCATTGAAATATTGTCCTTAAAGCCCCATAAAACATTAATGACGTTTTTATTCTTAGCAATAAAAAATTCCAATGAAATAAAAATGGAGCTTTTAAGAAATCATAAAGCTTTAGGGTCCAATAGTAATTCACCAGGACTGTGTGTGTGTGTGTGTGCTTTGATCAGAGTTTATTGACAGTGCTGGCAACAAAAGCAACATCTAATAAAAAACTCAGCGCATTTGAAATAAAAAGCTACGTTCCGGATTGGTGCACTGAAATATGTGTCCTGTCAAACCAGTTAGAAAATCACAGATAAAAACACAAACACAGTAGTCTTTTATATAAAATTAAAAAAAACACTTCCAATGTAGTTTTCTCTTCAGCACACCTCAGTCATAGTAAGATGGTGTTTGAGAAATGCAATCAGGGTCTTTTATATGATCATAGTTGCACATTGTTCTTTTTTTTTTCCACAGGGCTGCATCAAAAGGCCTGTCCCTCAGCCTCATGGAGAGACTCATCCAGATGTACGGGGACTCGGTGGTCCGCATGCTAACAGTCCAGTACCGCATGAACAGTGCCATCATGGACTGGGCCTCCAAAGAGATGTACCAGGGACGACTTACCGCTCACAGCTCTGTGGAGAAACACCTGTTAAAGTGAGTGTAAGCTTGATGATGGAGAGTCTCTAATGTTTTTATATCCACGGTGAATCGAAAATGATACAATTCTGTCTTTGATGCTGAAGAGATCTACCTGGAGTCGCCTGTGTTGAAGAGACCAGCACGCCGCTCCTTCTTATCGACACAGCAGGCTGCGGTCTGAGCGAAATGGAGGTCACTGAGGAGCAGTCCAAAGGCAATCAAGGTTAGTCATTTTTATTGTAAAGAACACATCGTTTTATTACAGATAGGGTTTTATGGGATCTGACCGTGTGTATACGTTATCCTCAGGTGAGGTCGACATCGTTGAACTGCACATAAAGGCCTTGACTGAAGCTGGGGTTAAAGCTAAAGACATCGCTGTTATCGCTCCGTACAATCTACAGGTAGGTCACTGATTGGAGGAAATGTACTGTAAAATACATGTTAACTTAACCTCTACGACTGTACTGTGTCAAAGCACTATTTGCATAATTTGTATTGCATATTTTATAAATAAAATATCTAAAATTTCAAAGGATTAAAAATGAAATACCCCAAAAATAAAATGTAATACTGAACTAGAACTCTAAACTGACATTAAAAGTTATGTACTCAATAAAAGGTCAGAAAATAGTAGAAAAATGGCATTCCCAGTTTCTCAAAATGTTGACATTTAAATGTTTCGAACGATATTCAATTTAAAATGATATAAAACAGAAAAAAATGATCTCTATATTTCAGAGGCTGCAAACCTTTTTCTCGAAAAATTATTTCAACAGTTTATCATTTATTGACAGTTGGAGAATGTTCTTCTTTCAATCAACTGTTCAATCAGTCGACCAGTCATTGCAGATTCATAAAAAGTAACTCATTGATGTTCTCGTCTCTGTAAAGGTGGATCTTCTGCGTCAGAAGCTTTCTGCGAGGCATCCTGAGCTGGAGATAAAGTCAGTGGATGGATTTCAGGGCAGAGAGAAGGAGGCCGTGGTGTTGTCCTTAGTTCGGTCCAACAGAAAAGGTCATTTATTTAGCTAAAAAAATGATGTCTGATTCTGTAACACCATGAATGTTAGCAGCACTTATTTATATATTTGTTAACTCTTTTAATTCCAGGGGCAGTTGGATTTCTGTCAGAGGACCGACGGATTAACGTGGCTGTAACGCGTGCGAGGCGTCACATCGCTGTTGTGTGCGACACGCAGACCGTCCAGAATCACGCTTTCCTGAAGTCCCTGATCGATCACATGACTCAACATGGCGAGGTCAGAACAGCATTTGAGTACATCCAAGACATCGTGCCACAAAACTACACCCGTGACCCCAAAGACACAAAGTCTTCCAGCAGCTCCACGTCCACCAAACAGAAGGTCAAAGATCAGCCTCCCAGCAGGACGAAGCCACCGCAGAAGAATTCAACCGGAAGCAGCGCTAATGAAAATACTGCAGGGAAAGAGAAGCACACAAAGTCCAGCTTAACATCCCTGACAGAGGAAGAGCAGAAGAAGAAGAACAGAACTGCTGAGATCACGGCGCAGGTGGAGAGCTTTCTGAAGGACTCAAATCAGAGTGAACTACAGTTCCCATCATCCTTTAACTCTCATGACCGCCTGCTGGTTCACCAGATCGCTGAGGAGATGGGCCTCGTGCATGAGAGTAAAGGGGAGGGGAAGGACAGGTGCATCACTGTCGCCAGACCCCTGGAGTCAACACCCGCTGAGGAGCCACCACAGGAAGAAGAAGAAGAAAAAGAGAAGGAAGAAGAAGAAGTCCAGAATCCCCAGAAAGAGCAGCTGTCTCAAACTGCATTAGACTTAAAAAGTTTACATTTGGAGCGAATGAAGAGGGAGCAGCAGAAGAGGGAAGATAACGCTCAACAAAAAAAGCAACAAAACGTCACCCTGCCAGCTCAGGCCCAGGCATCGAAGAAACCAAAGGCTGCTAAAGGTAGTAGAAGCATCTCACCTGAAGAAGCACTCACCAGTATTTGTATTTTTGATTACTCTTACTCACATCTTTTTCTAGATTTTTGTTTTATGCCAGAAAAATGTTTATTTCAGTTTGTCATAGTCCAAGTTGTTGTCTTTAAAAGTCTTGTTTTTTCTGTCCAAATCCCCAAATAATTGGCAATTACTTTAGTTTACAATTGATTATTTGCCCAATTGTTTCAGCTTTATTTTTAAATTGATACGATATGATACACTTTATTGTCCTTGTAAGGAAATTTGATTTGGACCGGTCCTGCAGTTCCATAGAAAAAGCAAATCATAAATACTACATAGTACGTGATAAAACACAATACCATATTCACACATGACTTATGTACACAGACGTACATACACGTATACACAGACAACACACTGACAATGACCACCTATTTCACAAACCCCAAGGCCAACAACAACAACAACTGTTATTTTAATCTGTCTGCTCCGATATGTTTTCAGCTTTGAACCTTTCCATTTGTGTCCCAGTAAAGAGTAAAACGAAGACAGGCGCCTGCGGCATCGCTGCTGCCGCCGCTCCAGATGAAGACTTCGACACACTCATCAACGCCGTCATAAAGGCTGAACGTGTGTGCAGTTTCCTGAAGTGCAAAGCTTCTGTGCTGATGCTCGGACAGCTTTGCCTGTTCTGCAACAGGCAGTACTGTCTCAGTCATCATATACCAGAGGTGAGACCGGAACAGACCCCAAAGAGTAGATGGTTTTTTTTTTACTATGTAGTCGTTTTTTAAATCCATGGAGGAAGGAAAGTATTTTATTAGTCTGTGTATTGATAGTTCGCCATAAGTGACAACCTAAATATAAGAAAGGTGTTGTTTTCTGATCTGATGTCATGTGTTGCACCTTTTTAGGTTCACGGCTGCGGAGATAAAGCCAAGTCTAATGCTCGGATGAGAATAAGCAAGGAGGGCGTTCTTTACGCCGGGAGTGGGAAGAAGGATAAAACCATGGACCCCAACAAGAAAGCCTATCTGCAGAGGAAACTGGATTCTAAACTGAAAGATATGTCAACACAGAGGAAGCCAAAACCAAAAGAAAATGAAAGTTAATAACATCAAATCAACTCTACATATTTATATGACCTGAGACTGTCTTCTGAATAACATAAAACAATTAAAATGTTTGAAAGTGTTATGTCTTATTTCATTCAATTCACAGTACAGTGTCATACAATTTGCTGCTGAATTTCATAGAGAAACTATTCAACATCTTCCTCAACTCAAGCACCATGCATTATTTCATTACCTATACAGTATGATGCCTGTCTAACCATCAGATACAGTACAGTGTCATGTAACTTCTGCTGAACTTCATATTGAAACTTCTTACAAAGTCTCCCTCCACTCGAGCACCATGTGTCTACTGCATGTGAGACAGGAGGCTCGTCTCAATAGCCCTCCTCCGGGACTTGACCCGGAAATCGATCAAGACACGCCATGTTGAAGGACGTCCCAATAGCTGAAATGCACACGGAGGAGTCGAGGAGGGGTGAGGGAGGAGGGGTGCGGGAGGAGACGAAAGGGAGGATACACGCATCTTACGGAGGCGGAGCTAAGACGCAAGGAAGGGACGCGAGTGAGGGAAAGGAGGAGTCGAGGAGGGGTATTGAGACGAGGCTTCTATGTTCAATGCTACTGTCTGAGGACAGATGATCAGCTGGCTGCAGTGTGTCCCCTCTGCATTCAATCCAGGGGAGAAGAAGGGAAAAATCCTCTCTGTGAATCTGTCTTTGAATGTGTATATTGTCGTCGAATCGGCCTCATTGATGAAAACAACCTTTCCTTTATCATAGTCCAGCTGCACAGTGATCTTCTCAGGTTTCTGCTTCAACACCAGCTTGGTGCGAGGTGAGGTCTGAGCCCAGAAAGAGTCTCCGTTGCTCACACCGATCACCCAGAAACCCTCGCTGGGGTTGAGGAAGACGGTACTCCTCCTCTTGATGGACTCCCGGGCCACTCCGATGTGCCAGTCTTTGCCCTGGACCACCTCCACCATCCAGCTGTGCCTCCCTGACGTGAAGCCGCTGGCCCCCAGCACACACACACGGCTGCTGAAGCGTTCAGGGTTATCAGGGAGGAGCTGCTTACTGCTGAACTGCACACAGGTCAGATCTTCAGACAGCTTCAGGTTGGACTGGGCCGTGTTTGGATCCAGAGTAATCGGGACTGAAAGTATCAAAAACATTCAGTACATTAAAGGTCCCCTATTTCATCAATATATTATAGTTCTGTTATACACAAAACACGTATTTGAAGTGTTTGGCTCGAAATACCAAACAGATCATGCATTGTAGCATCCCATAAACCCCTCTGTTTCAGCCCTGTTTCAAAAGTGCTGATTCTCTGTCTGTTACTTTAGATGAAAATAAGGAGCCACTCCCCACGCCCCTCTGAGAGATATTAGGCTTGTTTGAGACGAGCTGCGGCTCGCCTCGAAAGTAGACGAGAATAGCCGATCGCAGCCGGGGGAGGTCTCAAAAAGCTCGCCTGAAGTCGGACAGCTCGGAGTCGGCTTCTTCTTCTTCTTCTTCTCTCGGTTTTTTGGCGGATTTCAAACAACTTTAAGGTGCATACTGCCACCTCCGGAGTCGGCTTGACTCGGTTTGCATTTATAAATGCACACGGCATCTATTGCACGTCTGTCCGTCCTGGGAGAGGGATCCCTCCTCTGTTGCTCTCCCTGAGGTTTCTCCCATTTCCCCCTTAAACTGTGGGTTTTTCTCTGGAAGTTTTTCCTTGTATGATGTGAAACGTAAGGACAGAGGGTGTCGTATTGTCATACTGATATTCTGTACAAACTGTGAAGTCCACTGAGACAAATGTAACATTTGTGATATTGGGCTATAAATAAACATTGATTGATTGATTGATAAAGAATGGACAAATGTGTTTAATCGTTAATGTCAGATATGTACTAAGTAAATACATTTGTTCCTGCTCAAGATTAGATTCAACTTTATTGTTATTGCACAGATTACAGGTACTGAGACAACGAAATGCAGTTTAGCTTCTAACCAGGAGTGCATAAAGCAGTAAAGTGAAAAGTAATGTACACAATCTACAGAATAAAATATAGAATGAATTGAATGATGAATAAACAGTGAGGGGTATGAATACACTATATACACAGTAGCCTAGCCTAGTATGAACAGTGTGTTGTATGAATATGCTAAGATATATAAAGTATGACAACGGTAAGCAGTGCAAGTGTAGTATACAAATATATAGATATTAATTTAATGATGATAAACATTGTGGAACAATGATGAAAAATGTGAATGGAAGTGGCGACGTAAAACTGACACAAAACAACAACACACTTTTGCCGAGCCAATGGAGAGTTTCATCACCAGCACGGGGTAAAACCCACCAATGAGCGCTCAGCTCGAGATACCAGCGAGTCGTTTCCCATCAAGCATTTCGCTTCCGCAGCCCGTGGAGAGAAACTGCGCCGCCTCGCCGCGCCTCGCTCTCAAGTCTGCGGGCGTCTTTGTCCCGCGAGATTTCAACGTCTCATGTAGGCGAGCCTCCAGAGCAAGTCGGACAAAATGACTAACCATCATGCAACGCACTAGCAAGACGTTGATCGCAATTGCGCAGGTCTGCGCAGGTCTCGCTTGTCTCAAACAAGCCTATTAGGTTCAAAAGAACACAATGGTGCTCTAGGAGGAGATTCAGGTGATAAGGTGGGGGGGGTTACCTTGGTTGGTGATTGGCTAATGGTTACACAACCCAAAAAACATTATGACATCACAAACTGGCCAAAATCTGATCAGCTCATTTTCAGACAGGTTTTTATATAAATGGATCAGGACAAGAAGAGTGCAAATCTTTTTTTGCTGAAACTTTCAGAATCTCTTTACACAGAGGGGACACATGCTTATGTATAAAATACATGAAAAAGTGGATTTTGCATAATAGGTGACCTTTAAAAAACAAAAATATTCTTTACTTATAAGCCATTTTCTGTTCACTCACCACATGTGAGTGTGCTGGCCATCTTCTTCCAAACTTCAAACCTAAGTGAGCCCAGATGCTTTGCAGAGTTGATCAGGATATCTCTGATACACTGCGGCTCTTGATTGGTGCATTTGACCCTGAAACATGTTGAAATAATTACAACATTGACTTATGTAGACAGTTAGGGCTACGTTTGGCAGATGGTGAGTTACACATACCTTTTATTTGTCTGCTTGTAGTCCTAAAGATCCAGAAAGAAAGTGAATAAATGCAGCTCATTATTTAAATCTGAGGTGTGTAGTTATACGCTCAGCAGGGGTCAGGTGTTTGAGTAAGCAGTGATAAAAAAATAAGCACCTGTACACTATGAAAACACAAAACTATTCCAAAAGGATAATACATCCAAATATTTTGAGTGTATGCATGAAAGGAAACATTAAAATAATACATGACAAAAGGAAATCACACTCATAAAGTTAGACACCAAGCTCCTAAGGCCATGAAGGTGTCATTTGCTCATTACATTACATTACATGTCACTTGTTAGACGCTTTTATCCAAAGCAACTTACATATATACTGTGGGCAATCCCCACAGGAGCAATTTGGGGTGAAGAGTCTTGCCCAGGGACACAATGACATGCTGACTGCAGTGGGGTTTGAACCTGTGACCCCCTGATCAGAACATCAACGGCACGCACAACCCACTGCACCACACTCATAGCTTTGAAATGTTGATCAGCCTGGCTGTGTTTGACAGTAAGTCACACCTTGTCAGAGCCTATTGTTACATATATTATACTGATCAATCTGGTATGTTGTCGTTAAGAAGGATTAAAATGTCCATTCAAATACATTGGTGGTCTGCAGAACGTGCACAGTGGTTGCTCTTAGCATCTTGTGGCACTGATGGGATTTATAAAGCCGTTATCTATGGTAAAGCCAGTCATTTTACCTCTACTGCTGCTTTTGTTTGTGTTATTGTGTGACTTTGGTTATACCGGACTCACAAAACTTAGCTAATTTTTTCAATATGAATTTTTCAGGTGTCTATAATAAGTTTTGCCTCTGCCCCTGTTGACAGCAATGCATTGCTTTGCTCCTGTTCCCTTATTGCTGTCTGTTTCTGGGGGGGTGCCATCGACCACTTAGTGTAGCTTATACACCGACTATGGATAAACCTCATATATCCCCACTTTAAGAAAAAAGCCGTATTGTCATGTAAACAATGGCAGTAGATGTACCTGTAGAAATGTTAAATCCTTGGCTCTGAGGGCCCCCTCGATATCACTGATGGTGGAGTAGAGGGTCTTGATTTGCTCCTGGATGTTTTCCAGCTTCTCACACATCACCTGCGTCTTGATCTGCTCCTCCTGTCTGAGCACATTCAGCCTGCTGTTCTCCTCCTCCCTGAGGAACAGGTGCAGCTTCTCAAACGCCTCCTTTATCGCTGCCTCACCTTGATTCACTTGGCTCTGGAATGTGTATGGATATATTTTTGGCAGACACATAAAAGAATATTTGTGAGTCGTCCGGGAAGGAACTTTCTATCTTGGCGGAAACTGAATGGGTGAGACTAAAGAATCAGAATTCAAATATTAGAGGCACATCAAAACACACAATTATATCTTTACCTGTATATAGCGTTTGGTTTCCTCCCATTGCACCTTTGTCATGTTCAATAATCTGAGATGTTTCCTCAAGGACTCCAGCATGGCTGAGATTTCTTTCTGAAATATTCAAAAGATTAATAATTGAGTCTAAATCTGGAGCTGAAACTATTATTCTATGAATTGACAAAACATCAATTTGCTACTTTTCTCAGTTTTATATCTTTGTAAACTAATTGTCATTGAGATTCGGACAAGCTGGTTATGGAAATTATGATGGATGATTTTTTATAGATTAAATAATGTATCAATGATTTCAGAAAACAATGAGTTTATTATGAAAGTAATTGTTAGTTGCAGCTAGGGCTGTGCGATTACGGCAAAAATCATAATCACGATTATTTGGGTCAATAATTTATATCACGATTATTAAATACGATTATTCATTGACTTTGAAAAAATCAATTTATTGAACTTTAAAACAAATACAAATAATAATTTGAAGAGTATCTTTTTAACTGTTGATTACCCTGAACGTATAATTCAACTGAAAAACCAATACAAAAATAAATAAAATGATACATTTAAATAAATAATATCTAAATAATAAATACCAATAAACAAGATCAACAAATATTTTGGAGCGCACTTCCACAAGCTACTAAACATATATAAATATGATAAATTCAAATAAATGAGACCAAAATTAATTAGATCAAATATGTTGCAGTGCACTGTCACAACCTAGAAAAGCAAAATAATTGTTTTTTTCGATTATGTTGTTTTCGTAATTGTGGCAGGCCAAAATCGTGATTGCGATTAAAATACGATTAATTGCACAGCCCTAGTTGCAGCCCAATCCCCTTTTACACTAGAAGAAAAACAACCAGTTGCAACACATCTTCACTACAGACAAGTCATGTCTTGTCTCGTGTTGGAGAATATTTTCAGTAAATCCACTTGTTATTTCCCCAGTTTCTATTTTTACTCTACCTTTTTCTGTGTGGCGGCCTCCTCCACTGGGCTGCACTCGTGAACTTTGTGCTGTTTTGACGTTTGGCAGACGAGGCAGATGGGCTCGAGGTCATTGTGACAGAAAATATTCAGCTTCTCGTTGTGAACCCGACAAACGTCCCGATTGCTTCTGGTCTTTAACACTTGATATTCGTCCGCAGCTATCTTTAGTTCCAGGTTGATAGGAGGCCTCCCAAGGACAGACACAGCCTGACACACAGGACATTCTCGACATCCTTTCCATTCCCAGAATTTCTTTAAACAAAATCTGCAAATATTGTGGCCACAATTTAGGAGCACGGGAAGGTAGTAAATATCAGAGCATTGAGGACAAAGTAAGTCCCCTTCAGAGAATGAGAGCGCTGCCATCAGAAGGAAGATTTCCTTCAAAGTGAGCTCACAGGGAAACAAACCTCCAGTGGTTCAGGTGTCGTGACAGAAGGCGGTACGATGCTTATCGCTTGGTTGAAACTTCTGTAAATGTTGGCAAACTAGTACGACTGGTTAAATGCTCGTTGAATATTCCACATACGGTAACAAAACTCTTGTTGAGCGATGGAAGCAGACTGACATTGAAAGATGATAACAAAAATACACATGGTGAATACCAGCAATAAGATTACACAATAAACTCCTGGTGCACTTTATTTTCATTAATGACATGTTTCTATATTTGACACAGTTACATGGTTTGACTCGATGCATAAATATATTAACAATGCATTCCAGTCCGACTTTAACTCATTTAAACCATGGTTATATCAGCATAATGTCTAGAAAAACATAACATATCCTACATGTATTTAAATGTTGTGTTATTACTGCATTAATCCTCTAAGGAGGGCGAAGCTTGGAGGCAGAAGCAGAGGTAGTTAAAACTGTTAAAGATAAGTGGCTGTGCTGTCAGTGAAATCTTATTTATACCAAGAACAAAAAAGCGTTATGATTCTTTGCACGTTTTACGACTGTGCTACATGTAAACAGACAGTGAATAAACATTAATTTGAATGCCGGGAACCCAAACAAGTTCCTGGTGCTGCTCAGAAGTGAGGTTAGGTGAAAATTAAGTGCTTGTGCAGTACAAGTAAATGCCGTAGTGTCTCTGTTAAGGCTGTTAACCTGCTCACATGCTGTGAAGAGAGAGAAAACTAAGTACTACTATACGTTTAAATTATGAATGTTTCAAAAAGGGTTAACGGTATTCGTTAAATTATTTATCCTGTGTTTTGATCACACAAATACATTTATTTTGGGCTCACATCTATATTTTAGTACTTTTGAAAACTGTCTTACTAAAAATACATTTAGTATGAGTTACAGTTTTAGAGGAAAACCTGGTTTCAGCCACGATGTTTAGATTGACATGGCTTATATTGTTAAAGTATATGTGTCAAATATATTTAACAAATATATAAGGAATATGCATGATAAAAGCCACTGAATATTAAGAAAAACTATATTAAACAAATCCGAAATAAGTCAATATAGTTACATGGATTTATAATTTGATGTAATTCTTTGGGCATTGTAAATAAAACATGCAATAATAATTGATTGATAGCACAGCTTTTTTAGGGCTTTCTCTCTCAAAACCACCTTAAAATGACAAAGCCTCTCCAAGTTAATAATATCAATCTGTATATTGACATTTTATCAAGTGATATTTACACTACAAATATTAAAACTCCACAATAAATGAATAGTAATCTGACTGGTATGTGATTGGTCGAGAAATTCCTTTCCCAATAGGTTTTCTCATGTCCTCAAATTGCAACAATATTGTGTTGACGTCAGATTTAAGAGTTAAACATGGACAGAAAAGTCATTTCCATGAACATTGTGTGTGATCCGGCTCCTCTATCTCTGAATAAAGAAATAAAAACAGCAGCATGCCTTTTCTGTATAGACTTACTAGTTTTTGAATGGTTGAGAGGTTTTCGATCACTTTTGGGTTTTACAAACACCTCAAAAAATGTAAAACAAATTAACATGAGAATAGTATGTACATGAAGACAATAATAAATATACCATGTGAAATCAATTCAGAAACGGCTCTGTCTTCTGGAAAAGATACAAAATAAATCAGAAAACTGTCGATTAAAGAAAAAGTGGATGTAGTGTAAAAGGTTGAATCCTGGTTGAATTGAAACCCTGCAACTAAGATCACTGACGATCATTTCATCTTGATTTGACTAAACTATTACTACGCAGAAAATAGCAAATACAAGTTATAAACGCTCTTTTGACGGTCCATATTCCTCTAGAATTTAAAATCTGCACCTAAAAGACCAGTCGTCAGAGACAAGTAGGTTCATTCTTCTTCAGCTTATATCGAAATGTAACACTGTCAGTCGCGCCCCTCAGTCGGCTGTAACTCACAGACTGATAATAAGATGGATGCCTTGAATGTGTCCTCCAGCGGCACTCTGTGACACTGGGTTCAGTTCAGGATCCTCTTCACAGAGCAGTGAATTATTTCTCCTCGAACATCTTCAGGATACCCCAAGGCTGCCTGCTGCTCTCAGATCAGTCAGGCATCACGCTGTGTCTGCGGATCCAACGCACAAACACAGTCGCACAATCACACAAATCCAGGCTTCATGGAGGACTTGATACATTTGGGACAGCCCTTCGTCCCGTTCGTCTGCAGACACCTGAAGGAAAAAAACAGCCTAGTGTCAGCAGGTTTATCTGTAAACATGATATTACTAATAACACATTTAATTTATATTGCATTTTTCTTAATAGTCAATCAAGCATTAAAATTAAAAAAATATCAAAGAATTTCGAATTTTTCTCAGAATTTAGAGTTCTGGGATTTTTGTTTCGAATTTCGAAAAAGTACATTTTTCTCAGAATTTTGATTTTTCCTCAGAACTTCAAATCTTTCTCAGAATTTCGACTTTTTCGATTTTGTCACTGTCTCTGTCAATACAATACAAAGAGATGGCAAAAGTACATAGTTACATCCTTTACTCAAGTAGAAGTACAGATACTCGTGTTTAAAAATACTCTAGTAAAAGTAGAAGTACTGACTAAACTTCTTTACTCAAGCATAAGTAAAGAAGTAATGGCTTCGAAATGTACTTAAGTAAAAAGTACCCATAACTACCAACTGTTTTATAGAGTAACTGGTAACTGGACCTCGCTTTATATTAATAGACCATTAAGGATCTTCTCATTCGTATTGTAATAATGTCATTGTATATTTAATGAATGTTTCCATGCTGAACAACAGCAAAATGACAACGTTTTCATTGGTCCCTCTTCTTTAGAGAAGACCAGGAAATGATGGATACACGGATCGTGTTAAAATCAATAGGCACGCAATGACTCTAAATAATAATGATCACGCCACCAAACACAGATTAAAACTAAAGTAACCAGCCTGTTTTGAAAATGTAAGAAGTAGAAAGTACAGGTATTTGTGTTCAAAATGTAAGAAGTAGAAAGTACAGGTATTTGTGTTCAAAATGTAAGAAGTAGAAAGTACAGGTATTTGTGTTCAAAATGTAAGAAGTAGAAAGTACAGGTATTTGTGTTCAAAATGTAAGAAGTAGAAAGTACAGGTATTTGTGTTCAAAATGTAAGATGTAAAAGTAAAAAGTCGTCAGAAAAATAAGTAGTGGAGTAAATGACTGATACCAGAAAAATGTACTTAAGTACAGTAACAAAGTATTTGTATTCCACTACTTCCCACCTCTGTCTTTGAAATTGTTGGGAAAATACTGAATGTACTCTTCTAATATCAGAGTAGCACATGATAACAAAGGCCCTACGTAGCTGTGTACGTAACAGGATGTATGATTACCTAGAAGAGCCTCAGGACTGTTTTAGGCTTATGATGATTCAGCCTCTATGGAGATGGACATATGACAAGCATGATCATTTCTGACGTGGGTCTTAGCTAATCTGAAGTAATCATTGTATACTGCTTTGAACCGGTATTCCTGCATCCTGTGACTGTGAAACACCCTCTCTTGTATATCAGCATGTGAAGGACACTGTTCTGGGAACGAGTTGTCCCATATGCTCTGTATGTGATGACTACTTCCATTCTTGCAAGGATAATAAATACATGTATCCTGATATTGAAGCTCAAGCCGGTGACGAGTGATATTTTTCTAACAGAAATGCATGTATAAAAATAATAACGTGTGTAAGAGCACCCACTTGAGATGGAAGATGTGGGAACAGGGTAATGCCTGCAGTTTTTGGTCCCTGTCCCCGATGGACTCTCCACACATGCCGCAGTAGAGCTCCAGCTCCTCCACACACTGCAGGAACTTCACCACCTGCTCCCGGAGCTCCTCCTGCTGCCCCCGGGTCCGATAGATCCCCTCACTCAGGCTGTGCACCTTCAGCGAGCACAGCTACAGGGGCCAATCAGAAAAACACTGTCAATGTCACATGTCAATGTCAATGTGTGTGTTAGTCTGGAACTAAAGATTACTAAAGGCAATCGTTTTGTCCAAATAATATCATATTGCTTCCCTCAAAGCTGACAAAGTCATGTTTGGTACAACCAGTAGTTAGTAGTATCAGTTTACAATCATATATGACCAAGAAATCTTAATGTAAATGTTTGCCATGTTTGCGTAAAAAAACGTAATATTAAACTAAATGCCAATTATTTCTGCCGAACAACTTTTCCGATTTATCAAGTAATAATTGGAGCTTTACTTTACTTGTGTCCTATAGAAACATCAGTTACCTTGTTTCCCATCCCATCAGCTAATTCCTGGGCTCGCTGCAAAGATTCAAGAGCCTGGGAAATAAAAACATTGAAGCAGGTTTTATATGAGAAACACTTATGCCTCTTAGACTGTGATATTTGAAGGGAGATAATAAAATAATTGGTACCTTGTCTAACTCTTTCTGCAGAAGCCAACACTTTGCAACTCCCAGGTAGACCTGTGATTGGCCCAGACGGTTTCCAATCTCAGTCATGATACTCATTGCAGACTCGTAGCGAGGGAATGCTTTCTAAAGGGATGAAGAGAATTGACCACCGTTAAGATATGAAAGACAGAGCAAAACACAATGAAAGGAAGATAAATAGAAAAGTCCAAACTCTTTGAAAGATACATGAAACAAGATAAAATTGTATTGGAGAGCTAACAGGTCTACTCACATCACCGTCACTCCTGCAGCGGTGTATGTCTGCAAAGTTTAGTAAGCACAGAGCCTGCAGAGGACGGTCACCGTGCTGCAGAGCAATCTTCATAGATTCCTGTTGGAGTGCAGGACATACAGGGTTAGAAGAGGCATTGAACTTGTCTGACCCCTTAACTGTTAAACCAATGCCATGACTTCATTTAAAAATCTGAAATTCAGAAAATGAATTTGCATCACTTGGAAATTGGACTTTCTGGTTTAATATCAGCAGCTAATTACATTTAAATGATTGTATTAGACAATAAAGTACGCTCATTTAAAATATGCACCCTAACATTACGCCTCGCTATAGATGAAAATGTCTCAAGTTGGAAAAGTAAATAATTAAAGATTGTGTGGCTGAGAGCATTAAAGCAGAGTTGTTTATAATAAAAAGGAGTGGGAATCCAGAAATTGACGGCTGCATTTTATTCAATTACTTTTACAATTAGCATGCAGTTATGTCATTTATCGGTTGAGTGTATTTTTAAATAAATCAGACTGAAACAGGAACGTGAGCTGTTGTTATTTCCCCGTTAGGACTCCTCTTGTACTCTGGTATTCTAAATATGACAACATGTGTAAATTGTTTGTCTAAAAGTGTTTTGCAAATGTAATAAATCTGAACAGCACCCCGCTGTCTTGTTACTTTACTTGTGCGCTCCAAGGCAATGACATCAAGTTATTTTTCACCCTCGGTACATAATTAGAACTAAAGCCACCCTCTTCATTAACACTTCAAACCAGCGCCTCTGTGAGCATATTTCTGGTACAACAGAACAACTGGCGCTCGCACCTGTCAGCAACCTCTACTGTATCTGCTGCTCCGACATCCAAACAACCAGACATCAGGGGACTTTGTGAGGAAACCAAAACTGTGACATTCTCCTCAAGTTATGTAGGTTTGTCTTTGAAGGGTTGAGTCCCGTCTCTGAGGACCCGTCTTGTGTGTTGGGACAGTAAAACAATACCTCACAGCACTCCATGGCGTCCGGCAGGCGCTCCAGTTTCCTGTAGGCCACAGACATGTGGTACTGGCTCATGGCTCGATACTTGAGGCTCCAACCCTTGCCGTAGTCGTTGACGAGCTCAGCGGCTTTGCAGGGGAAGAACAGCGCCTTCTCGTAGTCCTGTGGGCGGAGGATACTGATGAGTAAGGCCTCTTATGTCCAAGCATCAGTAACAGCAGAAATACTCAATTGTAAAAGACTGTCACATGAAAAAGTCCTGCTTTAAAATCTTACTTAAGTAAAAGTGTTGGCATACTTAAAGTACCCTAGAGTAGTCATTTTGCATGAAGGCACATTTCAGATCTATTTATATTAAATGACTGGATTATGATAATTAATGCATGTATGTATAACCCAGCTGGTAAATGTGGAGCTAATTATTATTATTAATAATAATAATAATAATAATAATAATAATAATACATACTATTTAGAAACACCTTTCAAAGCACACAAGGACACCTTATAATTCAAAAAAGTCATTTAAATACCTTTGTACACAGTTGTTGGATATCTTAATATCTAATTTCATGTCAATGTTTATTCATTAGTTGATTTATATTTTGTATTATCTATTCAGAATGAGTAAAGCAACTGAAGCTGTCAAATAAATGTAGTGAAGTACAAAAGTGGCATTCATGATAAAAATCATGATAAAAATCATTCATGATAAAAATAAGTACAAAGAAATGAAAATACTCAGCTAGTACAAGTTACTAACATGTGTACTTAAGTCCAGTACTTGAGTAAATGTACTTAGTTAGTTTCCACCACTGCAAATGGCTTCATCAAACATCTTATTCAGATCCTAAAGACATTTTGGTTTCTAAAGCTTAATGAAAATTCCATCTCTGACATTAATCAAACAAAGAATAATTTAGAGAATGAGTAATTCTGTGTCTCCAGTATTATGAAATAACGTGACATATATGTGCATTCCTCAAACGCCTCTTCATAACAATCCCATTGAAACCAATCCTCCCTAGGAAGCCGAGGGATTACTCCTACAAATCTCTGATGTCAAGGGTACTACATAAGCCCCCTCACTCCGCCATGTTTCACAATGCCTCGTACCACATGAGCGAACCATTAATGATGTTTGCTTGGATGCTCTGCGGTGTGTTCATACTTCACAAATACGTTGGCAATATCAGTATTGGTTGCGTAATCAAGTCACACGTGCAATCCGAAAATACCGAAATACAAAACCTCAGAAAGATTAGAATATTATTTTACAGAAAAGTATTACACCTTGTCTTTCATACAAGTACTTTTGAAGACATATAGTCAACGGGAAATACTAAGCAAAGAATAGGATAAAGTAGTATTTCTAATGCAGCACATCATAAAGTGTGCTGTAATTGAACTTACTACAGTTACTGAAGTACAGTACTTAAATGCAGCTTCAGGTACTACATTGTACTTTTTAATTTACTGAATGTATTTGACATTTAGTTTACAAAAACACATTTACTTATATAATGTGATGCAGTAATATACTATCAAGTACCCGAACTTGACTTTATATTGCAAACCTACAACATTGAAATGCTCTTATTTGTTTTCTTTAGTTAAAAAACAGAACTTTTTAATATTCTACAATAATATAATAATTTAAAAGGAGCCTTTTTCATACAGGGTCCTTTTACTTTGATACTAAAGTACATTTAGCTAATGATACTTCTGTACTTTGACTCACGTAAATATTTGAATACAGGACTTGAACTTGTAAAGAGTATTTTTAGACAATAGTTGTTCTACTTTACTTAAACGAAGGACCTCAGTTCTTTGTCAACAACCGTTCAGAACATTCAAATCTCAATCATTTTACAAAAATGTTACCTTTAAATGGACATAGATGTTTCCCAGACTGCAGCAGACTCTGCACTCCAGCATCTTGTCGTCGTTGTTGTGAGCGTAGCGCAGGGCCTTCTCGTAGCTCTCCAGAGCTTTCTGGAAGACACTGAGGCCGAGGTAGGCGTTGCCCATGCTGAGACAAACCTGGCCGTTGAGCTGCAGGCTGACAGTGGTACCCTGCATGTTCAAGCAGGTCTTACAGTAGGACACCGTTTTCTGGAAGTCGCACAGCTTCTCGTTGCTGCGCGCCAAGTTCAGGTAGCCCTCTGTCAGGTAGTCTGGGTCCTCCATTTCCCTGGCGGTGTCGATCTGAGTGAGAGCGTACTGCAAAGAGAGAGAGGGAGGCCATGGAGAACAAGCAGGTTCATGGTGATTACATTCAAAAAGATACCGACTAAAAAGAGAAATGATATCCTTCTTCAAAGACATGAGGCCGCTACTTTGTAAAGTCTTCATTTAAGAGTGACTGCTGCATGAGTATAGATGGTTGTGTCAACAAGACACCCCACACTGATACTCGGGTTGCAGGGCACTTATTTACTCTGCACCGTGTGGAAGCCACACATTAATCCATGCTTCTCAAGATCACTGTAAATGGAACCAAGGCGCCGACCTTTGACCTCTTCTCCTTCAATTGTCACTTGGACGTAGTAGAAATGTAAAAATGCTACTACAGCACGATCTGTTAAACCCCGACTGGACATGATCACAAATAAAGTTAATGGGGTATTCAGTGGCTCACACTCCACACCCACACACACTGCTCGTTGCATAACACCAGTATGTTCACACAGAAGTGAAAATGTGAGAAATGTCTTCACATGAATTATCTAAACAAATATCGAGAGGACACAGATTTGGTTCAAATGTTTTTGTTTGTAGCATAAAGTTCTTGTGGAGGCTTACCTTTAGCATATCTTTATATTTTCCCATTTCCGAGTGGGCTGTGATCAGGCACCCCAACACCCGAAACTTCCCCCCAGGATCTGAGGTCTTCCACAGCACGTTTGTCCAGACATTCAGGGCTTTGTCCGTCTGATTGGACTGATACAACCTCAGGCCCTTCTCTATCTGCAGCTTGGTTTGGTCCTGGCCCATCTCTGGTCTAGGCGCCTCATACAAATATTGATTCGTTTAGGCCATGCAATTTCAGTGAGGCAGCAAGAAAGTAGATCCTTGCCATGCGAAGAACGACTCCAAAGAAGATCCCTTGAAGATGATCCTCGGAGAGGTCGCTGCCAGCAGGCCTACCAGATCCCGCTCTCTCAGCTCCGGCTGTGCCGAGATGGAGAGGAAACTGGATCCACCGAAGTAAAACAGCAACACACCAAGACCATTATCGCCGGTCGCTTCGTGGAGAGCAAGAGGACCAGAAAAATACCTTCCCCATTTAACCCTGCAACGATCCCCTCTCACCATCAAGTGTTCAAAAATCTCCCTCAGATTTCCACTTGAAAAATGCCAAAGAAACACGTTTCCCCGGCGGAGTGCTAGCAGTGATATCCCAGAATATCTGCTCCCTCCACACCCCAGCAAAAGGAATTCTCAGCACCCCCCGTGTCCGACCCCCTCCACCTTCCTGCTGCTGGCGCTGGAGCAGATGGTCTTGTCACTCCAGACCATGTGTCCCTTCAGGAATTCTGTCCTGCCCTCAGCAAGCAGTCCCAAGGTCACTTCAGCTCCTAGCGATCTACCTTCGCACTAAACCTCCCTCTGCACTGGACTTCAGAATGTTTCATCACAACCCTGCGGAGCATCAGAAACACATCCACACTGAACCGTGGGGCTATGGCTGTGATACAGGGGCTATAAACAGCGTTATTGCCCAATATTAAGGGACTGCATGTCAGATGGTGCGTGTAGTGGCAGTCAGTTCCTATTGGGAGTTCTTATGGAGGCGCTTATGTCCCCCCCCCCCAGAAACCCCCACCCCTCATCTTGGCGTCAGCAACTGATGCTTAGAATAGTTCACAAAGTCTGACATGTAACTGGGCTTGGGTTTCAGCTGCACAGCCTCCTGCAACACATCAATGGGAGAGTTGTGGCCTTTCTGTAGTGGCTTTCTCTCCTTCTACTCCTCTTTTCCTCCCCCAAGGACAAAACAGGCACCTTTAACACCTCACCATTCACAAGATGCATTGCCAATCCAAAGATAAATACTGTATTACGTGTTTGTTGAGGCAAAGCACCAAAGCACAGCAACAAATCCCACCCTTTCTAAATCCATAGTGGTATAACTGCAGGAAGTAAAGATACCAAATCCCTGGTAATAAACAAAGTATTAATAGTGAGAGATAGTTAATGCAAAAAGGGTTAAGGGCCATAAATATCAGAACAAACAATGACAGCTTGCAACTACAGCCATATATTTGACATTTCTGTTACAGTTTAACATCAAAAAATACAATTGCAAGACAAGAAACTGTGAAAAATGTAAAAGTTAGAAAACATCCTCTTATCAGGTTTATGCACATTTGACTTCAAATATGACATCTGAGGATATGTATCCTTCAACATCATGACACGTTTAACCACACACAATATACTGAAGAATGTTTTACGTTCAGTCACGTTTTTACAATGGAGTTGTTCATGCGTGTCAATAAACGAGCAGTGCACAGGACACAACGTCTATTATTTCACCGTCACAGCATCACTACACATTGTTTGACTTCACAATGAGACACACTGGAACAACACAAGCGAGTGACACACACCGCTGTTCCTTTTGACTGGTCTGGTGGTGAAGTCCTGATGGAATGAGTGGCACAGAAACCAGCTGAGTAAATACAGTTACAGCGGATGTCTGAAGAGTGAAGTCATGGTTAGTTGTCCCTGATTGTCTGTGGTGAATGTGTGGACCGCAGTATGACTTCCAGAGGAGAGTTTAGGCCAAGACAAACTGCCAGTTTGTGAGGAAGATTTTTAAACTTCTGATAACTGAGACGACGGATGTTGCCGGGTTAAACTTTAACGTGTTTGCGTCTCCTTTCTTACATTTGTCCCTGAATACGTATATGCAGCCGTTACAGCTGGCCACCTTCCACAGAGAAGGCACGCAGCTCCACACCTCGGGGAAGCGCAGGCGGGTGAAGCTCTCCAGCAGCGGGTTGTAGCAGACCAGGGAGTCTCCCTCTGCCACGATGAAGATCACGTCCATGTGCACCGCAGCGTGCATGCAGCCCGCGAACGGCAGCATGTAAGGTTTGATGAGGCACTTCCGCGTGTCGGTGTCAAAGCACTGAATCAGTCGAGACGGCTTAGTGAAAAAGTCCATGTCGTTCTCCTCCCCCCCGAGCAGGTAGATGGTTCCTCCCAGGTTCACACCGGCGGCCCCGGACACCGCAGTGTCCAGCTGGCTGCTCTCTGTCCACATGTTGTCCTTCACTGTGTAGAAGATGATGGCGTTGGAGAGTGTGTCCTGCAGCGTCTTTCCCCCCAGTGAGTAGATAGTGTCCTCCGTAGAGACGGAGACCATGGTGTGGTGCAGGCGGTCTCTGGGCAGCGGGGCGCAGCGCTCCCAGTCCATGGTGTGCATGTTGCACTTCCACATGCGGCGAGGGATGGACCCCCCCACCACATACAGGTCACCTGCGTGTTTACAGGCCGCAGTGATCTGATGGCATAAACTGTTCTGGCCGCTCACGCTGATCGAATCGTCCTCGTCACAGTGAAGCGACACGGCCAGCGAGTGAGTCCGCGCCTCCTCCTTACCAATCAGGTAAATGTGGACATCCTCCCCGATTTCCTGTGGATGTACAAGAGAAAGACATCCGCCATTACAGATCAAAATAGTTACAGTAGACATAAATGAGAAACACTTGTGTACATTGATATGAAGCTACAGACACAGGGCAAAGGGTCCAAAGGAATAAAGATCTGTATTTGCTCATATTGATTTCAATCTCTCTCGAGCCACAATAGCCAGCCTCTCCCTATGCATTGCCCTTGGGTTAACTGTTGAATGGACCGGTATATTATGTTTACTATAACTAATTGCCTGTAACTGACGACCATAACTTTTTACAGAGTCGCTGAAGAATCTTTATTCTATTTACTTGTTATTTAAATTGTTGATAATATATATTTGTTACTATTATTGTTATTTTTTACTCTTGGTGTGTTGGCCAGTGTCCCAGGGGATGACTTGAGTGTGTGCCGATGTTTGTATACTGTATAATGTGTAAAAAACAACAACATTTGAATATAAACAACAACAAAAAGACAAGAATTGGATACAAAATAAAAAAATAAATAAAAAGTCAGCTCTAGTTGAAAGTGAGCTACCTTGAGATTTTCTTGGAGGATGCATGAAAACTCCTCTCTCTCCACCTTGTTGTTGTTTATCCATGAATCAATTGCCACTTTTGGATTCTGGGAACTAGGAACTCCATCTGAAAAAAAACACAAAGCTTAGTGAGTCACATACATGAGGTGTTTTTTTATATTTGTCAATTTCAGATCGTCAATAGTTAAGTGGCAGACAAGAAACGTTGGGGCTCATGCTAGCGGTAATGTAACTAATACAACACATGACTTTGAGTAAATGTGATAACAGTTTGGGACACCAGGCCACATAGTGATAGGACAGCAAACCGGTGATACCTTTGAGGATGTCCAAGAGCAAACAGAGAGGCAGGTTGAGGAATTCTTCAGTCTGGTGCAGCTGGGCCAGGTGGATTTTGGCACAATGCTTAGCTGCGGTGTACAACTCCTGGTCACTGTGTCTGTCTGCAAGCCACATCACCTGGGCAAAAAGGTCATATGACTAAACTGATACAATTGACACAAATGTGACTAAGTAGCAGAGACGTGTTAAAACAGTGACTCACCTGCAGGCAGTTGTTGACCTCTACTGTCCGTGAGAGGAAGCGGGAGCATTCCTCAAACAGAGCAGTCAGCTGGTACATGTCTGACATCTCATAGGTGTCCTGGAGCTCCTCCACTCTCAGTTTAATCGTGCCGTGGTAGATGTAGTCGACCAGCAGCTGAAAGACAGTGGCGCTGACATCCTTCAGCTCAATGGAGCGGTTGTGGGACTCTTTGAGGTTGGAGGTGAACATGGAGCGGAAGAAACTGCTCTGTGCCGACAGCACGAGCCGGTGCAGCTGAAACTCTTTGCTGTCCACGTTGATGGTGACGTCAGCGAACAGGCTGTCCCCCACACACAGGTCCATGATGCTCTTCACCACCCGGCTGGAGTGGGAGCGGTCGGTGAAGGTGTATCCAAGGAAGTAGTTCTCCTCGCCCACAGAGCCGCCCACACTGAGGCCCCCCTCCTCGCTGGACTCCATCTTTACTGCTCACCTAAACAAGTCAGCAAGCAGCAGAGCATCCATCTACAGTCAGTTGGCAGTTTATAAAACATGTCAAGGTTTGCAAAAATACAAAAACCCTCCAATAACCCGTCTTCATCTTTATAAAGGTGATTGTTTAAAGTTGTTAATGAAATCTTTCTATAGGTGTTGATTGTAGGCGATGTTTGGGAATATCATAACAATACATTGGGCAATAACACTATTATTGACTAATATTGTTAATAACAAATTATTTTAACATAAGAAAATCAGATTGATTTATAAACAAGGATTTCCCTTTTGTAAATACTTTTGACCACAATTTACCAACACTATACCCACATTTGTTGATAGTTTTTAGTAGACAAATTATTGAATGGTGACACTATTTATAAATTAGGTCAAACACATTTTCTGCACAGAAAGCTCTTTCGATACAATACAATATATCTGGAGTAGGCTAATAGTGGTTATCCCTGTAGCTTTGGTGTTGCTTCAACTTCATGGTCTTAATGTTTATTGTGATGTTGCTAAATAGTAATGCGTTATAGTAAAAATTGTTCAGTAAAACACTATACAACAGAAGACTCCAAAATTGCCATACAGTTAAAAAAAAAAACACTCTGATACAGATTAACATACAAATATTACAACTTTCACTGAGTTAGGATTTAGTGCAGAACTGTTTAATTAGCAGTCGTTTCTGCTAAACGTATTTAATAAATGATTGCATATCTTCATAATATCAAACCACAGAAGCATCTTCTCAAAAGCGTGGTTATACTGTTGTTAAATAGTGTGATGAGTGATGCTTAGTTAGGTTAATGTCTGCGGTAATGCGCAGTGTGGGTGTAACGGTATTAGGAAGCTAACGCTAGCTAACCCTGTGTTGTGTTTACGGTCAGGATTAGCTTGCTACACAGGCGAGTCACAATTTAACCGTGATATCATGGAGGTATAGTTATAACTAGCACTGCAAATTAGAACAAAAATAGTCAAAATAATTTTTAAGAAAGACTAGTGAACAGTCGCATTTACCTTTATTTGAGTACTTTATCATCCAGGAGCAACTGAACTCTTCACCGGAAGTAAATACACTTTTCCATCTGTCAGAAAAGAGCAGTCAACTGGTGCTGCTGCTGCCACGTGGAGGAGATGCGCTACTACAACACACTGGAAATACAGTAGTTCCTGATGTCAGTAATGCTGGGCAGAACCTCAGCTCACATACACTTTAATTTTACAAAGTAAATCAAATGAAGTGAATGAGCTATGAAGTTGGACCGCTAAGGACTTCAGTAGTTTACATAGTCAAGACATGATAAAGTGAATGCCTTTGTTACAGTATAAAGTGCATACCATAATCTTCACCAATCTGCCTTACATGAGACCAACTCTATTGTGGCATTTGTCTATGTGGTATTACCTTACTTTCTGATTATTTTTGATATTGAATAAATGCAGATTTATCTATGCTGAGAAGTACCCTTAACTGAAACTGTGAAGGATTGTTTTTGGTTATTACTTTTGTTTGCATTGTTCAACATATATATTCTGGGAAAAAGCATTTATTAATGAATGAGTTGTTTGTTCTTGGGTATAAAGGGTAAATTGCCTCTGTGAACTTCAAGTCATTGTAGCTCAGAGTTCGGCATGTGGATCATAAAGAGTTTGTAAAAAGTATCTCTGCTCTGCATCACAGCCATCTGGCTTTTGCTACTATTTTCCAAGGTGGAAAAATGAGTGGTATTCAAGTTGATCTGTTTCTGCTCTGATTCACACAAGTGTCGGAGGGAGCGCAAAGAAGGATGCAGCGTTTAATCTGACTGCAATAATCTAAAGAAGAATATGAAAAAACATCTTAGATTCTGCCTTCAGGTCATTGTATGGCTTTCATTGGAGCAAGGGCTGAAAGGTAAGTGAAAACTGAACATGTACTGACAGGAAAGTGACTTTAGGTTATATAAGATTAAGCATGCAGAAATCAATATGCATTTCATAGCATTACAAGGTGTCAATGCACAGATAGCTTTCCTGCATCTCCATTGTGTTACAGTTAAACTGCAGTATTTTCTACGTTAGATGTGGCTGCAGGCAGAAGTCCAACACCTCCAAAAACCGGCTCATCTGTCTTTGATGCAAACCTGATGTTTGAGGTACGTTTTTCATTTTAGAGTTGTGTTCATGCATTTAAATCACATACCGGGCCATATTTAACTTGCAGAGAATACTATGCATTTAGATTTTTCTATCCTGTGTGCAGTTTTTGCTGGGTGGGGTGGAGATCGACCATGACAACATTGTTCTGCTGGACAAGGAGATGGCATCCATGAGGACGGGGCGGGCTTTCCTGTCTCAGATCAATGACAACATTCCCAGAAGTCCGAGCTCCATGGAGCAGATGGTGACAGCTCATAAGAGTCAGAATCGGCCGCTGACTCCAGATCAGTTTGACGGTCTTGCCCTGAGCATGGTGTACTCTGCCCAACAAGCCTGGCATCAGGATGGAGAAGAGCATCAGAAGGCCTGGAGTGAAGTGCTCCTCCAGCTGGCAAATGTTACGGTCCATGAACTACGTGGAAGTTATCTTTTCAGTTATGCATGATACAAAAACTGCCTATCTGTATAAGATAAAGGTGTCAGCAATACATCTCTTGCCCTACATCTTCCTTTAATGTGTATTCAAAGATTTGTAAATAAAAACCTCAATCATGTATAATGTTGTCATTTTTATTGAAGTATAAAAAAACGTTACACTATAAAAGAACATGTTTGCATTTGAACCTGAATTTGAGACATAAAGAACACTGAAATACAAAGGAATGTATAGACATGGACAGTTCTACTATTGCATGAATAACATAACATGTTTCAAGATAAAAGCTCTTGCCTCTTGTTTTCCAAAAGGAAAATGGAAAATTGAAGGAAAATAGAAAATGGAAATAAATATAGTTTCCCTTTTAAATGTAATCAAAGTGTACAGTGTTGGTCAATTACAGTCCAATAGGTTGAAGGCATTCTTAGTTTAATCTCAGAAGACACATATGGTGCTCGGAGGTCCACCAATAGGCTGTGGCCCAATGGTTGAGAAAGGCTTCAGTCGATGGATCAGATCTACACTATTGTATAGTTTATTTCTTCCTCATCTCTGCTAGCTTTTCTTTAATACTCTTAGTCTTAGTCTTGGTCTTGGTTTCCGTTTCTTCCAGAGAAGCCAGTTTCTTCTTGAGCTTTGCATCCAGAGCCGGTCCTCTCCTCTCCCTGCTGGGGCGCTGCCGATTTCTCCGCTGGCTTCCTGAACTTTCCGCTGAGGCAGAAGTTTCCTCCTGCGCTGTGGACTCATCGCTCATCAACAACCTGTTTCTATTCCAGACCAGCACCGACACACCTGCAGTGAACATTAAGTATCTTTAGTGACACACATGATCAGACATTAAATCACTTCAATGGATAACTCACCCATTCCAGATCCAATCACATCACCCATTGGACTGAATTTATTTACCTGTAAATAAATAATTATTGGTGTTAAAAGACCACAGCTTTCTTGTCTCCATTTCCCCCCGCCCAGTGTTTTTAAAGTCATACTCACAGATTTGATCCCTGAGACGGCGGGATCTTGCAGCTGACACACGAGCTCTGCTGTGTTGGAGTCAAAGATGTCGATGGTCCTCTGGTCTCCGGGGCAAACCCGGTCGTCGGGGTAACGGCCCGCCATGATGAGGTCATAGACAGGGTGCCATGTGGCCTTGAGAGAAATAATAGATTAGAATAGATAGTAACGCCAGGTTGCAGAGCTTGAGTAGATCCACGAGAGCAGCTACACTGTACCTATGTCTAGATTGTGAAATATTATGTTTTTAATTTGTGCTTTATCGTAGCTGCTGTACCTGTTTACATTCTTTTTACCTCACTGTAATCTCTTAACGAATAAAAGCCTGATACAAGCATAATAAAAGCCCTTTTAAGGACAGTGTTGCACTATAGCATTTGATATAAAACAATATAGGACACTTTCATTGGATAACTGTTTTCAGTTTGTGTATGTATACTGTATCGGTCCATATCAGATAAGCCATTAATAAATACATAACAGTATTGTATCATCATAAACTTTATCCTACCACACTGAGAAAGTTCTTTCTTGAATAAACCTCCCATGGGTCTCCTTATGTACTACCTTTGCCTTTATTTTCTACAAATGTTTTGATGTCCGTGTTTGTTTGTTTATATGCGCTGATCCTTTGTGCAACCAAACTAGGATAACTAGTGGTTGTCTCAGGATAAGTTAGCAAAGGAAACATATACACATCTAGAGAAAAATCAAACCTTGATGGGCGTGAGATGCTGAAACTGTCTGTGTGGATGTTGGATGATATGTTGAGGCTTCGACCAATCAGGAGAGGAGTAGATCCGGATCTGGTCGTACTGATCTGTGGTGAGCAACTTGGAGCAGTCCAGAGGGTTGAAATAGGCTGTAAAAACAGATTTACAAAATAACAAAGATTTTCTTTACAACTGCTCAAATCATGGATGTAAAATCTTTAAGGTATTGTCTACATTTTCATCAGATAAATTAAGAAATCTGAACTAAATGTCCAAAGACAAAACAACTTGCATCTATCACCAACAGTGACTCTTGCATCTACTACTTCACAACTACATGTATTATTTTAATTAATAATAAAACGTGGATGTTATGGTATGATGATGGTAGTAGAGTTTTCTGAGTGAGGGTTTCACCTGAGTTGACAGCTTTATCATGCGGCATCTCGTGGAGGAAGCTCTTCTTGTCTTTGATGTTCCTCAGGTCCCAAAGTTTCACCGTGTGGTCGACTGATGCGGTCGCCAACAACCAATCACAGCGGGAGTTGAACTCTGCATGGGTAACTTTGGCTTTGTGCAACTTCTCACTGAAAATCTGCAACATCAAAATAGAACAAAAGGCATTCAAAAATAAAATCTGAATTCATCCCAAAAACGTTTTGGAACTGTTAGTTGGGAGAAATACTGATTCTCTTTAGTGGCCAGAAATCAACTCATGTCTTTTGTCGCCTCATTTAAAAGGGGACCTATCATGCAAAATGCACTTTGTGATGTCTTTTATACATAAATATGTGTCCCCGGTGCGTCGGGGAACTCACGCAGTGTCAGAAAATAAAACCCTCTGTCTTTTCCTCCGTACCCAAATCTTTTAAAAACGGGTGTACAACGAGCGGATACAGATTTCCATCCGAACTGACGTGTCCATCCGTGGTGACGTCGACGGACCTACAGAGCGTTGCTATCAGAAACAATGCCTGACATGTTTTGGACGTAATCTCGTCTTTGTTTACATTAGCAAGCCTCGCTAACACTCAGAGCTAACCTGTACTGTGTTTAAAAAGCAGGAAATAAAAAAAGAACTCACCTTGTGATGAACCTGCAAGAGAAAAAGCATTTGAGCTCCTACTATTTCAGAAATAATCCTTGACGTGGTTTAAACAGGATGGCGTTTTATCACAACCGAATTTAACTTTATCTCCAGTAGAATTCTGATCAGGCATTAGCTCCGCCTCCTCTTCTTTCTTTTTTTTCAAGCTAAGGACCCAAGATCCGCGTTTCTCTAACAGGGCTGCAAAAGAGGGGTTTTTAGCAGTATGACGGATGGCTACAATGGGTGATCTGTTTGGTATTTTGAAAAAAAAACTTCACAGACATGTTTTGTAGAGGTATGGCCCTACAATATATTTTTCAAATATAGCATGATAGGTCCACTTTAAATAAAGTAGAAGGACTTAAGTTTAACTTTCGGGGAATGGAGACATACCTTTTGGCCGTCCAAACCCAGGAGTACGAGCTGTCCCACATTGTCCCCTGTCACAAGCATCTGTCGACTTACAGACACATCCACGCAGCAGTACCAGTGACTGTAAGAAACAAAACAAAGTGAGTTTTATTTTTATTCAACAGAATGAGAGTCAATTCAATATTTGAAAGTTTACTTATCATTGCTATAAAGTGAAAACTATTTCTTTACTAGCTGATTTTATGTGCTCACATTAAACTAAAGGTTGCCTCTATATAGTATACCAACCAAAGATATATGTTGATTTGTCTAAGAAATGCAGCGTTAGAAATCTTAAAACAAGGCTTTTTTTATTTAATGAAAAACTGAAAAGTTGGGGATACATTGTAGAGCTTTATACTTCAGCATAGCAACATAACAATGAGAAGATCACATGATCCCTCTTGATCTTTCTGAGCATCAGTCTTCTTCTCAGTTTCCTCACCAAACATTGTGGCGATCGTGGCCACAGTCTTGAGTTCGGGACAGAACGGTGGGTGGGCGGCCCTCAAAGCTCAGCATGTTTAGTGTGCCCTCACCAGAAGCCACAATAACTTTGGAGGGGTCTGAAGGGCAAAATTTCATCCCTCCAATAAAGTCTCCTGCTCCGTTCTGTGCACAGAAACAGAAACGCAGGACAGTTATCAGTAAAACTCTTATAATTACTCAAATTATTTTCAAATTAGGGAGTTTTCCTGCTTTTTATCCATTTATCTAATAATAAACCGAAGGTCTTTGGTTTATGGATTGACAAAACAAGACATTTAAAACATTATTTTGGACTTTGAAAAACGTTGGATGGATGCTTTATTGACCAAAGAAAAGTTGTCAGATTTATAGATACTGAAAATAATGGTTAGTTGCAGTTGTAGTGATGTACACCACACAAATGTTTAGCAATAAACCAAGAGAGCCTGATAAGAAGACTGATGCTCAGGCCTGCAATCTACTTTTTGGATTGGACAACTCTTACTTTCGTATGTCTGTGCTGGCAAACACTGATAGAATCGTCCCATTCAAATCTCGAAGAGCTGTCCTACCCCGCATAGACGAGGTGAACAGCTGACTGGGATTTAACCGGTTAAACCTCATGTCAGTAACTGAGTCTCCAATCCCCATCTAAGCAAAGAACCAATAAAAGTGTGTCTTCATGTTAATCTAATTTGCACAGTTTGTAAATTAATAATCGCTTCAAAATGTAATTGTGGAATAAGTTGCTGCATATTTCAAAAGCAGAAAAAGAAGAAACAAAGGAATATGGAGCATGAAGACACTCACCCCTTGGAGAAAGGTTTTCTTCCCAGGCGCCTCAAAGTCCCACAGATATATGTCTCCACCTTTGGAGCCCACAGCCAGAGTGGTGAGGTGAGTGGGATGCCACTCCAGACAGGTGATCCTGCGGTCGAAGGGGCTGGTGGACCCGTGGAACTGATATGAAGACAGCGAGCGGACAAAAGGTTCCTGAAGACACTGCAACAAACAACAACGTTTAATGATCAACTGTTCCTGCGAGCTAATCTGCCCATAGATATATGTCTACATGGCAGAAATGATGCATACATACCAAGCACTATACACATAATGATAATGCATGTTGAGAACGTTTACTACAGTGACATCCACCCAAGATAAACTTTGTGCATTACATGAATGCACATCATGCAAACAATATCTTGATCTTTTTTATATTGTAAATCCTGCACACGATACCTCTTTTTTAATCAGCATAGCTCTCCACTTTGAACATAGTATTTTCATATTTTACTGTACTCAGTTTCCCACATAATTATTTTTTACAATTTGTTTTATTTTTTATAATGGTAATATTTGTTAATTATATTTTTTGCTACGTATTCTTCTTTCTGTATGCACCACACTTATACCAAAGCAAATTCCTGGTATGTGTAAACCTACTTGACAATAAAACCGACTCTGATACAGTTATGGCATTACGTTGCTAGGTTATTTTTCTCAATCTGCACAGCCTTAGAAGTCTCACCTGTTTCATCTGTGAGTGAAGACTTTGTCCCAGAGTGCTCTTGTAAAGGTAGTGCAGGATGCTCCCATACCCTGCTCTCTTCTGGACTCCTGTAGACTTGAGAGGAGGCACTGCAAAAAACAACTATATTTCATGACAGGAACATGATTGTATGTGCAACATACTGAGTCTGCACCATTAGGGTTGCACACCTTGTTTGGATGTTTCTCCAACTTTTCTTTCTCGTAGTTTTTTGGAGAGAGCTGGACCAGAGTTCTCCCCGGCTCTTTTCTTCACTCTTCCCTTTGATTCAGATTCATCTGCTGACTTCGCCTGTCTTGTTTTCATGTTTCCCTCCTAAAGAAAACACGCCTGTTCAATACGACACAACAGAGAGGAACTGACCCGACATTTACTCATCTAGTTGCCACAATAAAGACTTAGACAGACTGCTTACCTGTGAGATTCACTGTTTAATGTTGCAGTGCAGGAACTCCAGTGTTTGCATAATATCGCAGCATGTCACACGTGAACTTTAATGGCTGCCCCTCTGTTTTGTAACTGTGTGTGTGTTACAGCTGGTGGACGCTAGGGGTCGTTGTTTTTAACCAGCAACACCTATTGGACGCCATGTTTGGTGTTCAAGTAGGACTACAAAACCTACAAAAGATCAGCTTTCAGATTCTGTGCACAGTCTCTTTCAGAAGAGGAGTGCTTTCATGACAAAAATATTATTATTTTGGTCAGAGTGAAACATATAATTAATTACTTTATGTATAGTACGGTAAATTAGGCTACATAATTAAAATGGAGTGTAAAAAAAGCGTTATACTTTATTCTGTGTTCTACTCAGGTAGGCCTACTACTACTACTACTATACAAAATAATATATATATATATATATATATATATATATATTTATTATAATATATATATAAAAAAACAACCAACCAGCCGCAAACTATATAAAAAAAGTATATTTATTTATTCTTTAGTTGCAATATTGCCTAAATCTTAAGGCCTCTACAATATTCTATAAAATTAATGAATTGTTTTATAATAAAAACAATAATAATGATAATACATGTAAAACAAATTATGTATTATTTATTACTTTCATAATTTTAAACAAAAAAGAATAAATACTTTCATTGTATATTTCTGGTTAAACATATACCTTTTTTTTAGATGTACACTTTTTCTGCACTGTTTATTTTTTGAAAATACTTATATTGATGATGACATATTCATTTTGAACCTTCTGATAATATGGAAAGTTCTATGCAAAAGGACTGAAAAGAAACCCCAGATACAACAACTCCAAATAGAAAGCAAAGCAGACACTATATTGACCCATTACATGGGCTGCAGAATATGAAAATATAATATCAATCTGTAAAGGATATTTTTGTTAATAATTTCTTATGATTATAGTTTCAATCTGTCTTCTTTTTGTCGAATAACATACCTATGTGTTGTTGATTGTATGGCTTAAACATGATGCAATACAGCCAAAATAAAAAATGGTCAGAGTTCCAATTCTCCTTGTTGCTGTTTATTTTTAGTTTGCGTGGTTTCTAGCCTTTCGGTGTATGCGGTTGTGTGCTAGTATCATAGACTGTATATATAAAGGCTAGTATCGGTTTATGAGATGACTGCTGCATATTTCACATTTCTGTAATTCCCTAAAAGGCTCGGAGCGGAAGGCGGAAACACGTGTCCGCTTGTTGTGAGATCTGATTGGCTGCAGCCGGCTCGTTTTGAAAAAGTCATCTGATTTGAGGCGGAGGGAAAGTTCAAAAAGTGTAGCGACGGCAACGGTAAAAACATCACGGAGAAGCGAGCAACAATGATCCGACAAGCGTAAGTTTACTTTAGTATTTTACACGTTTATGTTTTAAATAATTGCGAACGGAGCACATTACGTATACGTTTTATGCTCATGTTAAATGTGTTGCAGTTTACGGGCTTGTCAACGGATTATAATCAATGAGTGATTTAGCAAGCTAGCTTAGCCGTAACGTTAGCTGGAGGCTAATAAGCCGTCTAGCCAGAGCTTTAGCTCTCACACCATCGCCTACTCAAATGGAAAGCTAATGCTAACAATACACTCTGCTAATGAAATGTGATTCTTTTTTCAGGAAGTGTAAAACGCCCCGCAAGCCTCCTCCGAAAAAGCCTTCCAGCAACCAGAAAGACCCGGTTGGGGTGAGTGTTTGTTCAAGAACTAGCAAATAACACACATTGTTGCATTCTTTACTTCTGGGATGCCATGGGACATCTGAATGTTGGGCATTTATAAGCGCCTAATGTTGCATGATTTAATTACCTTATACTTGATGTTTTTTTACAAAAGGTGGGACACAACTTTGAGACTGTTTATTTGAAGTTTAAATAATTAGGGGATAATTGTTTTGATAGTATTTCTATTATTAATCCTTCATAACATCTACAATTGAACACAAATAATAAAATGACCTTCAAACAACCAGACCTACTTTGTCCAATGTCTCAAGAATGACTTACTAGGTAATTGTTTTGTCAAAAGACACAATGAACTAAGAGTAGTGAAGCAAGGCACATTAATTTAAATTATATTTCAGTAAAAAGGCCATTCATAGGTATTTACATGAAACATCAAAAGCATCAACACATCAGCCAGTTGGAAAGACCCAGTATGTTTTTTAAGGTTTGGTATTTTCTTGTTTGTCTTCCGTTTTTTCCTTTTTAATCTCATTATTACTTGATGCTTTGTTGCACTCATGCCGATAAAGCACATTGAATTAAATCAGTGCAACTGAACATGTCCTGTGCTTTTGCTCAGGTGTACTGTCGTGTACGGCCCCTGGGTTTGGAGGATGAGGAGTGCTGCATCGAGGTTATAAGCAGCTCCACCATCCAGCTGCACGCCCCTGAAGGCTTCAAAACAAACCGCAATGGAGAATACAAAGAGGTAACGGACATTTTGAACCCGGAGTAGTTGTGCTTTCTCACCCATTGTTTTCATAATTAGGGGTTTTCCTGCTATTAAGCAAAGGAATGTCTTGTCCTTTACACAACGTGTAAATTAAAACCTGTCTAATTTTGGTTTTAAAGCATTCAGCCTGTCATAGTCTGCTTTTTTTATTGTAAAAGAAACTCATAAAAAGCCAAAAACAAACAATACATTGTATTATAAGTATGGTCTATGTTGCCATAGTTTTAGCCATTGTTTGTCAAGATTGATTAAAAAACACATAAATGGCACATGTGAAATGTTTCGGAAGTTTTGAGAAACGAGTGTTCTAATGCAATTTGTTAAAAACCAATATGATGAAGTCAGCCATATTCTTTACTGTAATACAGTTCCCCTCAAATGTTCCATTCTCTTTTGCTTCCCAGACTCAGTATTCCTTCAAAAAAGTATTTGGATTGTCAATAACTCAGATAGAGCTGTTTGAGCATGTGGCCAAACCTCTTGTTGATGACCTCATCCATGGAAAAAATGGTAAGAGAACTGGCCAGCTTCAGAAGAAAACACATTTTTACTAAATAATAACAGTTTAACTATTGCCAGCTGCCTCATTTGAATACAAAATAAGTGCAATTTTGCCTTGTTGTTGCAGGTCTGCTCTTCACGTACGGGGTCACAGGAAGTGGGAAGACATTCACTATGACTGGCTCTCCGGGCCAGGGTGGTCTTCTCCCTCGCTCACTTGACATGATCTTCAACAGTATAGGACCCTACCAGGCCAAAAGATATGTAAGTAAACATTCAAGAACAGTGTTGATCATCTGTTGTACGAACACTAATAAAGTAAATACAATTGCTTTAACTAATAGTAGGCTGCCTAAACAATTGAAAATCAGTAAATCATTTCTAATTTCAGCTTATTTACCCAATTGAATTACTCCTGGGTTTTGTTTTTTTAGGTTTTCAAGACTGATGAAAAAAATGGCTTGGAGGTCCAGAATGAAGTCGATGCTTTGTTGGAGCGCCAGAGGCGGGAAAACAACATGCCTGTTCCTAAATCTTCATCTTCCTCCTCCAGGTAAGTCAAAGTCCTGTTAGACACCAGCGTCCTGCTACAGTGTAACTGATGTATAACATGTGAGTCACTGCTCTGATTTCAGACAAAAAGATCCTGAAATTGCTGACATGATCAAGTCAGAGGAGGCTTATAAAACCGACGCTGTGGATGAGGACAGCAGCTACACCGTGTTCGTCTCCTACATAGAAATCTACAACAACTACATCTATGACCTTCTGGAGGAAAATCAGGAGGATGCAATCAAACCAAAGTGAGTACAGGACATTTGAAGTAAAAGCAACATCATTCAGATATATAAACATGCATTTAAAGCCAGAACAGTTTAAACTTGATGCTAATGCACTATTCATCAGAGTCCGAAACATTCAAATGTTATATTTACAGGTTAGCGCTTTCTTCGAAGTAGCTGGAAGGCAATTCTTGTATTTTTCTTTTTACTAGGTGGCATGGTGGAGGCACACCTGTGCGCCAGAACACTGAGTTCATGTATGTGACCAGTGAATACTCGCACACCACCAGATAGTAGCCTGATCTCCCTGTCACACACAAATCTGTCTAGTTTAGTTTATCAATAGAACCTCGTCAACACCGGAGACATTTTTGACCATGTCATGGAAACGTCTTATACTTAATATATTTAAATGGGTTATTTAGTGAACCAGGACCAAGGCCGGATTTGAGACAAAAAAACAAATACTGTATAATTTGTTTATTAAATGATTCACAACATTTACTAATCAAATGTTAATGGCAAGTTCAAGTAATAATCATATGTTGCAATCCTAAAGACAAAGTTCTGAAATGATTAGAAACAGCCGAACAAAGTACTTTGCTATGATTCAATACTTTCAACTTTAATTCAAATAAAATGGTCTGATTTGAAGAACAAGTTAAAAGCTCAAAAGTGTTCATATGAGAATTGGCAAATTCTGCCACAGACACTTTTGGTCAATGATGATGAAATGAAGGTTTGTTACTCAGCCCTACCCAGGAAGTGTATTGACGGAGCGGCTGCACCAGCGAATGTCTCCAGTGTGGATGAGTGTTATTTAGTCCTATGAACCATTAGATCACCCCCGCTGCTGCTTGTAGTCTCTGTTATGGCAACACTCCTGAATGTCCCTAAACCTGCTGTCTGCTGCTTTGTATGTCGCGTGATTGTCACTGATTGTTTCCTCATGGCTGAAATCAAGCAACATTTATCCCCCCCCTCCCCTTCATGTTTGATGATCTGTTGCATGAAACTGAAATTGCATATTGTCAGTAAGTAACACTTTTATGCTCTCAATGTAGACCACCTCAGTCTAAAATCCTCCGAGAGGATCAGAATCACAACATGTACGTGGCTGGTTGCATGGAGGTGGAAGTGAAGTCTGCTGAGGAGGCGTTTCAAGTATTCTGGAGAGGTAAGTCGTCAGAAATTATAGTCACAGTTATGGGAATAAAGAAAAGAAAAATGTAGGAACAAATTGCACTGATGATTTTGGATTTTACTGACCTGGCATTGCTGGCCTCCGGGTCGGCTCTGGCCAGGAAGTGATC